TCCACACGTGCGGTAGATTAAGGAGTAGCGCGGTGACAGAAATACATTCACAAAACCAGAACTCACACCAGTCAAACTGTTTCTGTTCTGCTGCGTGACGGTGAGTAGAGAAGCCTTAGTATTACATAAATGTAAATTCTGTAGGCGATTTGTGGGACTAGTATGTGTTTTGTAGGATAGAAACAGTAGCTTTATAGGGTTACTCTGTCTTTATGACAGGATGAGTAGGAATTTGCTAGCATACTGGCAGACGTAATTTGGAAAATACCAGGGAACTTGGAGAAACCAGATAAAGTTAGAGAAGGCACATGTTTCCATTTTGGAACATTTTTTGCAGAATTCACTTTATTATATTTAATCAGTTAGTTAGAAATGGGATTGCTGGGTCACAGGGTGAATATATGTGGAATTTTATCATTACTACTTAAATATCATAGCCCTTTTCCTGCATATGTTAAGTAAAACCAGTCTTCAAATTGTGTTCTTCTTAGTCTTGTGTGAAATGCTGGGTTTGGTAATGGTGCTTTATTGTGAATTGCTATTGTGCTTGCCGAACTTTGCTGTGAGCTGTTTCAGGACTTGTACTTTATTTGACCTCTAGAGTCTAGATAAATAGATCACTATTAAATGCAAAATTTTCCACTTCTGACTTAACGCTTCATATAATCGGAGGCGTATAACCTGAGTTCTAAGCTTTACTCTCTCGTGGGAGTCTGTCCTACTGAGAACTTGACGGGTTCTGTGGATTGACTGTCTCCACAGCACTTTTTTTGTCCCTCAGTAGCAGAGTGGCCAATAGCAGGAGCAGACAAACCTGATTTTTCCTCCCTACTCTGTCACTTAGTAGCTATTCTGTAAATTTGGGACATTAATGGTTCCTGTTTGTAGATTTGTTGTTGAGAATTAGCTCAAATAGAGGTTTAAGAAGGAAGAGCTGACCAGGGTTGGGGAGTGAAGGAGAGGCAGTGATCCTGGTGACTGAGATTTCGGGTTTGCTCGACTGGGTGGATAGTTTGAAATAATTCAGGTGCGGTGCGGGAGAGAAAATGAACGCAGGGTCCATATTTGTGACTTGGGAGATGGAAAGTTTCGTGGCCTCACAGATAATTCCTTTCTGCTTTGAAGGCGAAGATGAGGAGGAAGAAATATGATTTACAAAGCTGTGTTGACATACGTGCACCTCTGCACCAAACGCCTGGGTACAGAGGGCGTGGGTCGCTGTTCGGGGGTGTGCACACTGTTGTCTCCCTTATTAAAAGTCAAGGTCTTGGGACGCCTGGGTGGCTCAGTGGGTTCAGCCGCCGCCTTCAGCTCAGGTCATGATCCCAGGGTCCTGGGATCAAGTCCCGCATCGGGCTCCTTGCTCCGTGGGGAGCCTGCTTCTCTCTCTGCCTCTGCCTGCTTGTGTTCTCCTGTGCGCTCTCGCTTTCTCTCTCTCTCTCTCTCTGATAAATAAAATCTTTAAAAAAAAAAAAAGTCAAGGTCTTTTATCCACACAAAGAAAAAAATGAGCTCAGATAATGCATGTTGATAGCTTACCACAGAACCTGCCACACAGAAAGCTTGCATAATCCCGCCTGGCAGTTACCAGTTACTTTTTTATGTCGACAGAGGTACACATGGGTTTGGAGACTCACTCATCTTTCAGGAACCCAGCTGCAGGGAGATTTTGTTACCTGTTCCTCAGCCATCCAAGGATGGGGTCGGGGTCTTCAGCATCTGCCTTCCCTCACCTTCTGCTCCTCTGAATCTTTTGTATGAAAGGCTTTGAAAGGAACTCAGCCTTATCGATCACCTCATTATGTGATCTTAACCTTCTTGGTTTTGTGGACTTTGTGAAAATCTGATGATTTGTCTCTGAATTTGTATACATACAACTTTGTGTGTATGGACTCCCAGAGAGTAACTTAATCTTTGAGAAGGCCTTAAATTTGAAGTGGGTTGAAAATCTAGATTAGTCAAAGCTTTTTCTCTGTGAGGCATCATACTTAGGATGCCTGGTTATGGCTTTTAAAATTTAGCAAAAATTCAGTTCTTCAAAGGAACTAAAGAATCTGGAGGAAAAAAAAGTGAAAACTGCTCTCGACACATTTTACCCCTCAGTAGTAGAAGGAAAACCTTTTGCACCTAAACTACAGAGAAGCACTTTCTCTGAAGTATGTGTGGTTAATCGATGACTCTCTACCAGTTAGTGAAAGGGAACAGACCGCTTACCCCCTGCTCCCTGGAGAAATATGCAGCCCATCTGGCCCAGGTGTGTTTGGCAAGACCTGTCTGTCCTGTCTTCTGTCGGTCCCTGGGGAACGTGAGATAGCCGTCTGTAGAGGTGCTGGTGCCTGCCAGAACCCCCAGAGCCTACCGTGTTCTCAGGAGGGCGGGCATTCTGATGCCCGTGTGCCTCGTGTGAGGATTTGTGGTATCACAGCCAGTAAAGTCCTTGTTTCCTCAGATGGCGCTGCAGTTGTTTACTGGGGATAAGGTTTAAATGAACATACACTGTCACTTTATAATATTTAGGAGCAAAGAAAAGATCTGAAAACAGGTTAAACTCATCTTGCTGTAATTTTATTAAAGGACACTTGACATTGAGAATATTTCTTTTTGAAGCAGACCAGCGGTTTAAGATTGCTAGAACTGAAGCCATGGGCCACCGGTGGGGGCCCCTCTCGCTGACATCCTGGCATCGTGCGTTCTCGCTGTCGTCTGGAACCCCACATGATCCTAAGGATTATCTTGATGTGAATAGTTGCCATTTTTATTCAGCGTGGAATGATACAGAATTTTCATCTAAGTCCAGTACTGTATTAAGGTTTCACACTTCACACGCCATCTTACACTGGAGTAGATCCCAAAGAATTCACGGTAATTGCAGCAATAGTCTAAGTAGTCGCAAACCCAGGTGTCTCTGAGAAAGCGGAGCGCACGAAGACTCGGGCGTCCATTACGAGGCTGTGTGTTGAGCGTTCTGTCCACTCTGAGTCGCATGTCTTTAGAGCATGTCTCTAGGGACAGTTCATTCCGTCGCACAAGTGTATAGTGCACTGGGCGAGAGGGAGCCGCTGGGGAGCCTCAGCAGAGTGGTGTGTGACAGATGCAGGTTTCTGGAGAGAACCTGAGTGTGAGAGCCGTGTGACTGAGGAGAGACTGTCATGGTGGGAGGTTTGGGTAGTGGTCTGTGGTGGAGGTGAGCTGACTGTAAGGGAGAACTGGCAGAGAGGGGAGGTTAAGAAAAAGGTAACCAGTAAATCAAGACTGCATTTCTGTGCAAAGAAACCATGATTGTTTGGTTGGATTCCACAGGACCGTGGTAAAGACAAGATTTGGGGGGAGGTGAGTCAGAGAAAATGTGATTTGAGGCAGGTCTTTGATCTCCCGTTTGAGACCCACATAGGAGTTTATGGCCCTGAGTGAGGTAACGAAGTGTGGCTCCTGTGTCCTCGCGTTCTAGAGCTAGATGCCGTGTGGCTGGGAAGCCGGGCAAGGCCTCCCAGGTAAGGGAGTGTCCGCAGTCATGGCATCACCAGAAAAGGCAAGCCTGCGAGAGAGTCACCGACCGCGTTGTTGACTCTGAAGTGACAGCAGAAACACACCTACGGTGAAGTTCTGACTTGTCTCCGAATAGGTGCTCGGCTTGTGCTTTTGGTCCTTCCTTGGCCACTGGGGCCGGTCGGATACAGAGGGGCACCGGCGGGGGGGAGACGGCCTCACGATCAGTTGCTCCCGGGAGCACAGCCGAGCACCTGCTTTCGAAGACCTGGTACCCTGGGGCGGCCTCCGCCGCATTCCTGACGGGACGTGGGGTACTGGCTGCTTCACTGCAGCGGGAAGGAACAGCAGGACCCACCCCGCAGGGCCACTGCGCGTGCTTCGTTCCGCGTCCCCGTCCGCCAGTGTCACGGGCCCCCAGATGTCTCGAGTTCTTGGCTGGAAGTCCAGTTCCAGTCGGGCCCAGCAGGCCTCTCCACAGACAAGGGCAACAAGCCCTCTGAACTTAAGCAGTGTCTGCTAGCCGTTCTCGTCCCCAGTCTTTGCCTTCTTGAGTATTATCCTTCCAGCTCTTACGCCTTTTCCTTAATTCTGGAAGGTTGCCGTCCCTTTGCTTTTGTCCAAGAATGCATCTGAGCTGGCTGACTCAGAAAACATTCCGGTTCCCTCCAGCCCACGCTCAGGGTTCAGGCATGCTGCGCCTGTGATGTGAAGGCGTGGGCCGGCCGGGTCACAGAGCAGCAGGAGGGACCGCCGCAGCCCCTCTCCTGGAGCAGTGGGGCTGACCCAGGGTGCCGGGACGGGGGCCTCCGGCCGGGAACCAGCTGCTGCCGCCCATGTGTTCCTCAGGGCCGAGCTTGAGAGGTGGACCTGGTACTTAGCGAACCGTCTTCTCGGGAAGACGCCGCCGTGATATCCCCCGACCAGCCCCTCTCAGCCGGAACGTGGGGCCGGGGCTTGTCTTTCACTGGCTGCCGCTCCCGTGTTACGGAGAAAGTGAGGGCAGCAGTCGCAGAAATCAGAACAGTCCCAGACCACGTCTCAGTCGCCCGGGAACTGCCTGTGACCCGTTCGTTGTAATCTAAACCAAGAATGTGCTTTTCAGAACAGTAGTGCGGCCGGCCGTTGAGGGCGCACCTAGCATTCCTCAGAGAACTCCCCACCCGAAACAGCTTCAGCCTTCCTCTCTCAAAAAGGAAGAGCTCACGGCGGAGTACTCTTGCCCAAATCCCCGATGCCGGCGAGCTTCCCTCCGGTCCTGAGAGATACAGAGAAGGGACTGTCGTGTTGGTTGTCGCTAGGCTTTCCTGCCTCAAAGTGTTGTTGGGACCTACAGAGCCAGAGGGCACACATTTCAGTCTCCTCAGAAGCCCTTGTGCAAAGCTTCAGAGCCAGCGTTGTCCGGAAGCGTTTAGGGAAACAGTCTGCGTACGATACGCGTATTAAACAGCCTGTGTGACATTTTGTGTACAGTTGCTGGGGGTCCGTCAGTCATGTGTATGTTTTTCTCTTAGGTTCATTTTCCAGACACTGAAAGAGCAGAATGGCTAAATAAGGTAAGAGTAGAATATACTAAATACCACATTATCAGTGGGAGTGAGAGAATGAGATGCCATCTTTCCATTTTTGGGAATTTGCATGTTGACAGTATGTGAACTCATTTGGACCTAGTGGACTGGCTCCTGCTATCAAAAAAAGAGAGTCATAACTGATACGTTACTTTTTAGAAGGTGAAAACTGTGTCTTTAACATGAAAAAATTGATATTTTCGTAGTTGTGTATTTGGCCCTGTGTCTACTTCACTCATTGGCTAGTGCTCAAGTCTATTTTATAATTATAAGCCGAATTTTTGAAAATATTACGAAAAGGGAGATAATTCCCAAGAAACCTAGTAATAGATGAATAATCCTTTTTAAAGTTATTTATTTTTCTAAGATCATATACTTTGAAGTAGATGTTTCCCCCCATATTTTATATATCCTTACAGATTCATGATTGCCTTACAGCACCAGAAGTTAGTCCATCATTAAAGAAGGCTCATTAATGTTTATTAAGATCTAGACAGTTTTAGGTTTTTAGAAACAAGCTGAAACCACAGAGTTTTCTGATTTTTTTCCCTAAGCAACTTTAAATGTGCTGACAGGCTTAAATGGAATGCTTAACCAGAATAATTTCTGCAACATATTAGTTAACCTGTAGTTTATTGTTGTAGCACATTTTTGAAATTCAGATCGTGTTCATTTTGCATAACAAATGAGACACATCCCCCCTTTAATTTTCAAAAATTCTGGTAAACCATAGAGGTGTAATTTTTCATGGTGACGTAAGAACATTATTACATGTTGGTACATAGTACATTACTATGTATTAGAGCATTTTGTTTGACGTGAGTTCTTTCTTCTTTACAGACTGTGAAACATATGTGGCCTTTCATTTGCCAGTTTATAGAGAAGTTGTTTCGAGAAACTATAGAGCCAGCTGTGCGGGGAGCAAACACCCACCTTAGCACTTTCAGTTTCACTAAAGTTGACGTGGGTCAACAGGTCAGTTTCTTCTTACATATCATTTGTGCACATGGTAAAATTGGTGTGAAAACTTTAAAAAATATATGAAACGACTTCAGGTTACTTTCTAGAGAAAAAATTGCTGCTGGGTGAGGTCTAGCAGGCTGTCTCTGCAGCTGGTCCCAGTTCTACCTCCTGGGGATCGCCCTCCCCTTGTCTGTCCCCTTGTGTGTTACACTCATTCTTCCCCTGTGGTCTTTGGCCCATTCGGTTTCCTTGGTTGGTTTCTTTCAGTTCCCAGCCTGTCTTTCTACCCCTGCATCCTTCTGTCGGAATTTTCCTTTGTACAGTTTTTCACAGTCTGTCTAGTTGGGGTTTGGTATGTGAATTCATACTGAAAGTTTAATGACTGACAACAAACTTAAAGGCGTTTACCCCTCAAGATGTGTGAATACAATAATTCAGGACTCCAGTGCCAGGCTTACAGAATTATATTAATTATGTAAATGAAGGGAAAGATAGATTTTGTTATTAGAATCATACACAAATAAATACATCTAATTCCAAATATTCCTTCTAGTGAAAGCCTCAAGACAGCATGTAAATTAGTCGATCTTGGCTTCTTTTTCTAAGTCCCTGTTTACAGTGATTAGCAACAGTTCGGGGTAACATTGTTTTTAATTGAAGTATAACTGGCATATAACACTGTGTTACTTTCCAGGGTAACACTGTTTTGTCTGCTTCATGAAAATTCAGAATTCAGTAGTAATTTAAATACACCTACACAGTTGACACACATTTTGTGCACACGCACAGTAGGACAGCGCAACACACCTTCCCCAGCTGCTGCAGTTCACATGTCCTTGCTTCAGACCAGCAGGTTTCCATAATGTGGCCAAGGGGTGTCTGACTCGGTCGCTGTTGGGTCTGCACCCCCAGGCTCAGTCCCATCCTGTACTCCCAGAATGCTCCATCTTATCTACAGTTACGCAAAACCCGGGGTCTCCACTGCGCGCACATGTGTTGTACTTAGTCATTTTTCCTCTTGGCTGTGAGGTTTCCAGATATGTTAGAAGCCTGGGGTCTGATCATCCTGTTGTTCAAGCACATAAGGGCCTGCACGGGATGCCTGTGTCCACTTTACTTTCAGGTGTACTTGACCTTCTCTGACCTAAAATGATAACAACAAATAGGAAAACACAATACAAGGTAGAACGCTGTGTGAGCATGAAGCAGAGGTCGGACACTTTTTCTGTAAAAAGTCAGTGCTACATATTTCAGTCCTTAACAGCCCATAAAGTCTTTGAGGCTTATTCTTCTCTGCCCCGCCCCCATTTCTTTTATAATCATTTAAAAACCTTTCATAGCCAAAGGCCAAGTTGAACCTGCAGGCCATGGTTTGTGGTCCCTTAATGTAAGATGATATGCTTGTGTTTGTGGAGATTAGAATTCTAACCCCAGCTGGATTTGTTTTAGGGGGAATTATGTTCACTTGGTATTACACGCTCTTTAAGTTTGATACTAAGATTATCCTTGGAGAACAGGAAGAATATTAAGAGTAGTAGCTGACTCGGTAAAAGTGGCTTGACATCATGAACTGCACCGCTGTCTTACAAGTACATGTGATCTCAGGCTAGCTGAGGAAGGAACAGGCTAGAAGGACGTGCAGAGCCCCAAGCATAGTTCTTTGTACACACCCGATGTGCTGTTTGAGTCTCTCAGTCAGCTGAGTTCTCTTGCCTTTAAGTGTTTGTCCTGTGTTGGATAAGGCTCAGTCACCTGGAGTGGGCTTGGCCTTGCTGCTTCTCCTAACATCAGATGTCATGTTCAGTGGAGGAAGGGAATATTGTCTAATGCAAACATTTAAACTAAAGGCCCTAAGCTACCTATATCCCATTTTCACTCATCAGCATAGTGATTTGAACTGTATTCTCTGTGATTCATAGTCTGTGCATGTCTAAGGCAGTATCATCAGAAAAAACGCCAGGAAGCTAGGATAGTAGGTAGTAGATAGTAGAAGATCGTAGGTAGTAGAAGATGGAGATGCTCAAAGACTTAGAGTTTTGTTTTGTTTTTAAGATTTTATTTATTTGTAAGAGAGAGCACAAGCAGGGGGAGCAGTAGGCAGAGGGAGAAGCAGGCTCCCTGCTGAGCAAGGAGCCCGAGGTAGGGCTGGGTTCCAAGACCCCAGGATCATGACCTGACCTAAAGGCAGACACTTAACCAACTGATCCACCCAGGCACGCCCCCCGCCGCCACAAAGACTTAGAGTTTAATCCTACGGCCAGTTGAGGGGCAAGATGTTGGGGCACCTAAACTGTCACAGTGAGCTGTAGTTCTCCAAAGGTCAGGAGTCCCTTCCGCTGAGTGTTTGATGCTCAAAGGTGAGGTTGAGAACTTTCCTAGAAGCAGTCTCAAAGTGATAAAATGGGAGGTTTTGAAATGGTGTTACAGCTGGGTCCTTGAAACATGACAGTTACTATGATCTGCCTTTTCCTTTTACAATCATGTCTCTATCATGTATCAGGTTAAATTAAGATTAGATTAGAATTATACCTACAGCCAGTAATTTTCAATCACTGAAAAGCCCCATTTTTGTGAAAATTTTAAGAAATGAAAAATTACAAGTCATAAAGGAAAAAAAAGGAAGTTAGTTGTGTTTCAAACCATGTAACAACAAGTCAGAGGGAAAGCATCGAAGTAAATTGGAAGAAACCGGGCCGCGGGGTTGGGCCTTTAAGCACTCACTGCGCATCAGACACGCTCCTCCTGTCCTTTGATTTCATAGTAACCTCGTTAGATGGATGCCACTTAGTATCCACACTTCCCAGATAGGACACTGGAGAGTGGAGGCCTACGGACTCGCCCAAGGCGAAACAGCGACTGCACTGAAGCAGAAGTTCAGTTCCTGTGGCCTGGTGCAAGGCCTGTTCTCGTCTCTGTGCTGCATTGGAAGGGTGGGTTTTCTTTTTTAAATAAGCATTTTAAAATAAGCTGCCTCTCGTTTCAGCCCCTCAGGATCAATGGTGTCAAGGTGTACACTGAAAATGTGGACAAAAGGCAAATAATTTTAGACCTTCAGATTAGGTAAGTTTGTATGTGTGTGTGTTTTATTTATGTCATATTAATGGCCTGTAATGTCATTCAGCTATACCCATAAAGTGGAAGATATAAGGAGGATGCTTCTTACCTGATGTGTAGTAGAAGTTGACTAAATTGTTGAAGACCCAAATTTATTGATTTTCTGTGTCTTAATTCCTGATAGCCTAGATAATTGCCAGTCATAAGATTGTTAAATTAAAAATATTGAAGACCCTGCAAGAAAACTGCAGACCCATACCCATTATGAACACTGATGCCAAAATCCTTATCAAAGTAGTAGCATACTGAATTCAGCAACATATTAAAAGAACTATACACCATGACCAAGTGCGATTTACTCCTAGAATGCAAGGATCCTTCAACATATACAAATGAATCCTCACCACGTCAACAGAACAGAAGGGGGGAAAAAACACATGATCATTTCAGTTGATGTAGAAAATGCATTTGACAGAATTAATTATTTTTCCATGATAAAAACCGTCAACAAACTGCGAACAGAAGAAAACTACTTCACCATAATAAAAGGCATATGTGAGGGCGCCTGGCGGGCTCAGCCAGAAGAGTGTGCGACTCTTGATCTCCAGGTCATGAGTTGAAGCCCCACGTTGGGTGTAGTGATTACTTAAATAAATTAAAAAATAAAAAGGTATATGTGAGAAGCCCCCAGTAGACATCATACTCAGTGGTGCAAGACTAAGCTTTTCTTCCAAGATTAGGAGCAGGCATGTCCACGTTGACCACTTCCATTTAACATGGCATTGGAAGTCCTAGCCCAAGCCGCTCGGTAGGGATAAAAAGACAAGGCATCCAGGTTGAAAGGAGGAGGTAGAATTGTCTCTATTCACATGTGGTATGATCTTAAATGTACAAAACCTTAAGGATTCCACAGAAAAACCTCGTAGAACTAATAAGTTCGGCAAAGCAGCAGAATATAAAGTCAGCACATACAAGATCAGTTATGCTCTGTGCACTAACTGTGCACATTCCAAAAATGAAATCAAGAACATCTCATTTACAATAGAATCAGAAAGAATAAAACTCTTAGGAATTAGCCAAGAAAGCGAAAGACGTGTACAAAGAAACTATAAAACACTGCTGAGGGACGCCTGGGTGGCTCAGTTGGTTAAGCAGCTGCCTTCAGCTCAGGTCATGATCCCAGCGTCCTGGGATCAAGTCCCACATCAGGCTCCTTGCTTGGCAGGGAGCCTGCTTCCCCCTCTGCCTCTGCCTGTGCTCGCTCTAGCTCCTCTCTCTCTGACAAATAAATAAAATCTTCAAAAAAAAAAAAAAAAAAAAAAACTACTGAGAGAAATACAGGAGATGGAAGGCATCCCGTGTTCTTCATTTGGAAGACTTAATATTATTGTATGTCAGCACTCAGAGCAATCCGTGGAAGCAACACAGTCCATGTAATCACATGTCCAGCGAGCACTTAATATCTGAAAGTGTAAGAAACCCCTAAAACTCAGCAAGAACATACAGCCCGGTTCAGAAATCGACAAAAGGTCCTGAATAGACATTTTTCCAAAGAAGCTGTGCAAATGTACAGCAAACACATGAGAGGATGCTCCCTATTGATAATCAGGGAGACGCAGGTCACAACAGTGAGCCACCACCTGGCCCCAGTAGGATGGCTGCTGGCAGACAGTAGAAGGCAGCAGGTGTTGGCATGGACGTGGAGAAACTGGACCCCTCGTGCGCTGTTGATGAGAGTGTACAACGGTGCGGTTGCTGTTGTTCCTCAAAAAGTTAAACAACTAATAAAGACCCAGCAATTCCACTTCTGGGTCCATAACCGAAAGAACTGAAAATAAGGTTTCAAAGAGTTACCTGTACACCTACATTCGTAGCAGTTCACAGTAGCTGAAATGTGGAAGCAGCCCAGATGTTCGTCAGCAAAGAACGGGTAAAGAAAATGTGGTCTGGACATGCAGGAATTCTAGTCACCTTTAAAAAAAACAAAAAGGAAATTCTGACCCATGCCACAATGTGGATAAACCATAAGGATGTTACGCTGAGGGAGGTGAGCCCGTCACAACGCGACAAACACTGCCTGACCCCACTTACACAAGGTCCTTCGAGTGCTCAGTCGCTTGGAGAAAGAAATTGGAATGCTGGGCTCCAGGGCCTGGGGGAGGGGAAATGGTAAGTGGTTCCCTGGGGACAGAGTTTCAGTTTTGTAAGATGGATGAGTCCTGAAGATGATGGTGGCGCTGGTCACACAAGGTGAATGTGCTTGATGCTACTGAACTACACACTTAGAGATGAGCCAGATGGTCCACTTTACGTTCTTTATATTTTACCACAAGAAAAAATAATTTTGGGAAAAAGATGAACTGACAGTCTGCCCGGTACCACACCTGGCAGATAAAGGTGGTTTCGTTTCATTCTTGTCCTCATTCTTTGTGAGCCTGCTCATAGCTTCCTGCATCCCTGTGAGGCCTCGTACCACAGCTGTGGAAGGGCAGCCGCTAACGTGCGTCCACTGACAGACCCAGCCCATAGTTGTGTTTCTTGCCTTGACGAAGGATCACTGTGTTTTATAGTGTTGTCTCTGAGTTTCTGAAGGGTACGAACGTCGTCCTTGTACAGGGTTGGCACTGACTACCTTTACTTTCCAAAGAAGCATTGACTGCCTCCGAGGATCCGATGGGAAAATCTGCATCTCTAAAATACCAGGCACAGCTGTGAGCACTGGTTGTCATCAGTGGGATAAAAGGAAGCCCAGCCCGACTGTGCCTTCAGCTCAGCTGTACCCTGGGACTGTCCGCTAGTCTGATAACGAGCTTCCTGAGGATAGAAACTGTATTCTTACTCTGGCACTGAGGGAGGATTTCATACACGTTTATTAAATAAACCTGTGAGTGAATCGGTTAATGGATGCCACGGTGAAGGCGCAGTCTGGCTTTCATGGTTCTAGCAGTCAGAACACCATGCAGATCCTGCTGCTCGGATATTTATGTCTCTAAAGAAAATCTGCATTCTCCTTTCTGTGTGTTCTAGGCTGCGACTTTAGGTTATTGGTGGTAGAGATGGGGAAGGCAGATATTAGGAAATACAATGATCAGGTCTTAGGGTGAAGAAGAGGAAAGTTTTGAGATGGTTTTTTAATAGGTGATTTTGCCAGCTAGATCCAGCATTATGCACAGTGAGAAGAACCTACAGGTGCTGGCTCGAATGCCAGGACATAAATTTTGGAAGAATTCTTCCCAGATGCCTTTCATTAGTGTTGTACTTGTGTGCTTTCCAGCCTCCGTCACACCGGCCCCAGATGTGCTCGGGCTGGAGCGTGACGTGCTGCTTCCGAGGGTGGGAGTCGGATCACAGAGATCCCGCGCAGAACATAGATGATGTTTCGAGCTCACATTAAGAGTAGACACAAGCCTGACGTTCAGCGTCGTACTAATTCTTGTTTCGTTTGTTTGTTTCATACTAATGATTGAAATGACTTAATCACAGAGTAAAATTGGTGCCCCGAAGAGACGCATCACATCTAACCTTTGATGTCACAGAGCCCTGGAGCACTGCTGTTAGTTGTCTCATGACCAGGGAGCATGGGTGCGAAATTAACTTCTGGCGAGACATAATCTAAGCTTTTTTTTTTTAATGTTTTAAACAAACACAGTTGTTTGAGAAACAGATGAAAACTGTACTCCAGCAGGAGACCGATCCAGAAGTCGCAGGTTGGGAAGTGACCTGTGTAATTGGTGTGGCTGTGTCAACTCTGCCAGCAGGGACATCTGTGATCTGGGCAGTAAACTCTCAGACACGGGCCTCACGTTACAGTGCAGGCTGGTTTTGGTTGTTTTGCTGTCATTTTACTCAGATTATATGCCTTGCAGGTCTGTGGTGATTAAGAGACAGTAATACAGAACTTTCTCTGCTAGTTTTGTAGGAAACTGTGAGATTGACTTGGAGATCAAGCGGTATTTTTGTAGAGCTGGTGTGCAAAGTATACAGGTAAGGTTTTAAAAGTTTCATAGTCTTCTAAAATTCTCTATGCTCCATTCAAAAAAAAAAGTCAAGTTTTTATTAACTCAGAATTTCTTTGAAGTTAAGTTTTCTATTTGTAGGTTATACTTGAGAGAAACATGAAGTCAGATGCTGAGAAGTCACTAAGATGATCATGTATCCTCCTTCTTGCATCAGTAAATGGCCTGTGGAATTGTCTTCTGTGACATGTTTTGGTTTCCCATTTGAATTTAGATTCATGGTACAATGCGGGTGATCCTGGAACCGTTGATTGGAGACATGCCCCTAGTGGGAGCCTTGTCTATCTTCTTCCTTAGGAAACCAGTAAGTCAACATTAATTTCATGTTCTCATTAACTGACAAAGATGTAGAGAAGCGTCCTCCTCTCACAGTTCCCTTTTCTGATACATGGATCCTTTGAGTGTTTTTATACTTCTTTATGCTCTCAACGGAGGGCTTCATCTCTGATTTGTTCAAGTCACAAAACCAGTCAGTCTGGGAGCCCAAGCTGACAAAGTTGCTGTTGCAAATCTTGCAACCCCGCCAACAAAGGTTGCCATCATTGACAAGCAGAGCCTTTCTGTTGTGGTATGTTTAATGAACTACACAGTAGATGATTTTTAAGGCATTAAGGTTTTTGGTTTGGTTTGTTTTGGATTGAACTATGGGTTTTTTCGGGGGGGTTTTGTTTGTTTGTTTTTTTCTTCAAGTACACTACACCAAATGTGGAGCCCAGGGTGGGGCTTGAACTCATGACTGACTGCCCCACCCAGACACGCCTACTGACATTGGATAAACCGTAGTAATCATCACTTCACGTTGTTGGCGTGTATACCCCACACACACATATGTGGAAGAGATACATGTATATCCCACGTTTTATCACAAGTAGCCAGTACTAACTAGTCATTATGAGCTCAAAATAAGACAGCAAAAATGTCGTTCCTGCCTAAGTGACCCCTCCCCTCCCTTTGACTCTTCCTGAGGCTCCTCCTCCTCATCACCTGGGTGGCTCCTTCCCCACAGGGATCCTCCTCATGTGGACTCCTGCAGCCTCTGACCGGCTTCCTGCCTTGGCTCTGTCCTCCGTGCACTTGACCACTAGGGTCCGCTTCCCAAGGTGTGAACTGACCCACTCGGGAGCATCTCTCCCTGGCAGACAGCCCTCATGGTCTAGGTGGGGTCTCTCTCCAGCCTCGTTTCCTGACACTGCCCCTGGTGAGCGTCCCCATTTCCAGCCACAGGGAGGAAGCATAATCCAAGGACGGTACCGGCCCCCGTCGTCTCGCCTCTCCTCCCTTTGTCGTTCCCTACTCCCAGAACACTGTTTCTGTCCCTTTGTGGAATCCCTTCCAAAGACGCAGGCAGTCTGCTCTCGCCCTTGTTCCCCTGCTGCCCTCCTGTCCTGTGCGCTGTGGTGCACTGCTCATGAGCTCGTTGAAAGCCACAGCCATGCCCGTCTCCGTACAGTTCAGTGAGTGTCCGATGGAGGAATTGACCAGTTTCTCTGTTACCTTCCCGTGATTCACCATTTTTATAACTTCTGTGAGTCCTTTTTGGAGTTGTCATTAACAGTATGTATCGTTTAAGCAGGAATATTAATTTTTATAGTTTTGTAAAGAACTTAATGCAAACTATTATTGTTGGGTTTTTTAAAAATACGTGTTTATTTTAGACCAAAGTACAAATGGCATTTTTTCTGTGTAAAAACGCAAGAATTTAAGTGTCTCCACTTCCTTACCACCAAAAGTACCACTCTGATTTGCTTCTTATTGCTTAAATAACAGGTTTATTTTGAATGTGTTTTGACTACATAAAACACTAAAATTAAAGGAATTAAGGAATCTCTGTGTTAAAATTTAATTTATTAAAATTTTGAGAAATGAAGAGTTCCATAAAAGATATAAAATTCATGTTTCTTTTTCCACATACCAGTTGTTTAAAAGCCATTATATGGTTAAGAAACTTCCTTCATTAATGAGTATAAAAAACTAATCTTCAGTAGATGGCTAAGTATTTTTGATTTACAGGAATTTTTAACTACTAAAGACCTTTTTTCAGTTCAGAAAATAATGAAATCCAAATCTTTAAATCTCCCTCAGTACTTAGTAGTGCTCTTCCTTAGGTTGGATCTTCCGTAGGTATATTTACTTTAAAAATAATGGGCGCCTAGGTGACTCAGTCGTTAGGCATCTCCCTTCAGCTCAGGTCATGGTCCCAGGGTCCTGGGATCGAGCCCCTGCATCACACTCCCTGCTCAGTGGAAAGCCTGCTTTTCCCTCTTCCCTGCGCCCTCCCCCGACTTGCGTTCCCTCCCTCGTGTCTCTGTCAAATAAATAAAATCTTTTTTAAAAAATTGTAATGTAACTTCCAAACAAAATCTTAGTGTCAGAAATGGATGAGGCTGTGAAAAGTTCAGGATCATTCATTTCCTTATATGGTGAGAAAAGTTGCCAAACATACACTTTGGAGAGAAGGGAATTTTTTTTCCCCAGTTATTTTTGACTGGAAAATATGAGAACAGAACTCGCTTCTGGTTGCCAAGTAATTCTTCCTCACCCTAAGGAAAAATACAGCTACAAAGATTTGGGGGTTTTAGCTATCCAGATGATTTAGGAGAATACTGCCAGAGACTCTTTTGAAACCTTTGCACATTTTTATAATTGTTCGTTTGTTTTAGTTATCTTTGATAATGTGCTACTTGTTTAAAACAACAACAACTAAGAATTTCTAAAGTGACAAACTTTCAGAGTTTGTATAGTGAAAGTGGTATGTGTAATGGTTAAGTGACAGACTTGGGTTTTCCAGCCTGGTCTTCCACACCTGGTTTTTCTCTTCTGACCGTATGCCTTGAACAGCTTGTTTAATCCTCCTAAGCCCAGGTCTCCCCATCTGTAACACAGGGACCACATGTCAGTGGGCGTCTCCCCATCTGTGACACGGGGACTACTGCCTCACAGCACTAAATGTCAATAGGTATAAAACAGTAGATTCCTAGTTCATGGTAAGTCCTCAGATTTTAAAGAAATTAAGTATTTTCCTGTACATAGGTTTAGCATTCTGGTGGGTCTTAATGCCAGAAGTCAAGTTTTGGTAAACACAAAAACTTGGGTGAAGGTTCTGGTAGGAGCCAGAAAAGCCAGTGTCTCCCTTTGGCCATGTCACAGGGAACTGGCCGTTCACTTACGCTAACCTGACCGTTACTGAAACTGCCTCTGGCATGCACTCAGAGGTGTTTCAGAATCCCCAGTTCTTTGTTGGGTTATTCCAAGAGCACAGATTAGCCTCAAGTAAATCCATCTTCCAGAACTGACTCCGGAGATGATCTTGGGTGTGCCCACAGTCTGTTTGTCCTAAGAGGGTCCTCCCAGCTAGCAGAGTCTTTGAACCACAGATTGCATTTTTACAGATGGAGAAAGGCAAGTATCTTCCTTTTACAGTGACTGTGAGAAGAGCTTGAGTCCTGTTAGCTACAAGTCCAGCAACTGACACACCTTAATCAAAGGAAGGGAAAAGGAAAGGCTTCAGCTAAATGAAAATAGCATGAATTGTTCTCTCATAAAACCACTGGCACGCAGAACTTGAAGCCTTTGCGACTGTCTCACCCACGCCTGATGGCTCCATTCTCTTCCCTGTGAGACCAGCTCCCTCTGGTCTTCTAGTCCACATGCCAGAAACGGCTGCTAGTGCACCTTCCTGCTTTCCCTTCCTTGTTCCTGCGGTGTCGGATCCAGGCGCCTAGACTAGCAGGAAGGAGGAAGGTTGCATTGTTTGGATCAGGCTCCTGGGAGCCAGTTCCTACAACCCTGTGTAGATGGCAGGAGCGAGGTGGAGAGGCTGGGCTGGGCAGACAGGTCCACCAGAGTCTACCGGACTGGAGAGGGTCCCAGACTTAAACTACAGCTCAGGTCAACCTGGGAGCTTTGAGGGTATTTATCCTTCCGGGTGCTCTCAGAGTGTCCTGGATCTGTGGTTTGATATCTTTCATTATTCTGGATAGTCTTGCCCTTCCCCGAGTAGTTGAAACAGGGGAGCTCCCTACTGCTCTGGCCCATACTGGGTTTCAGAGCTAGTGCCTTTTTTTTTTTTTTTTTTTTTTTAAAGATGTTATTTAGTTATTTGACAGAGACAGCGAGAGAGGGGACACAAACAGGGGGAGTGGGAGAAGCAGGCTTCCTGCTGAGCAGGAAGCCCGATTCGGGGCTCAATCCTAGGACCATAGGATCATGACCTGAACCGAAGGCAGATGCTTAACAACGGAGCTACCCAGGGTCCCCATGGCTAGCATCCTTTCTAGTGACCTTGTCTTCTCCTTGTGCTTGTGTCTTTGGTAGGTCTTAATACAGGAGTTAGTCTGCACACCTCCCTCCTGTAATACAGGATCTCTAACAGTCAGGGCTGGGATGGTGGCCTACTCTCCCCAGACAGAGGCTATTTTCTTCTCCTCTCCCTATCCGCAATGAACCTTAACTATACGTCCCTTTTCCTAGTGGCTTCTCTTCCTTACTATGGAAGGTGGAGTTTGGGTCTTTCTAGCCGCAGCTGCTCCATCCCTGACCTCACCCCTGCAGAAGGGTTTTCCCTTGTCTCTATAGCACACCCACACTCTTGAGCCCACCTAGTGGGTTGCAGATGGCCTGTGTCTGGATTTCAAAGGGCTTTCTCTGTGTCGCTGGCACCTGGCCTTTAGCAGTTAGGATTTAGCTGGATCCTCTCAGTTGCCCTGAGAGCTGCTCTGAGTAAGGGTTTCAGGCCGGTGGCCCCGTCACCTCAGCTCTTCCTCTGCATTTGTGATGCTCTTTCCAGTTTTCTGCATCCCAGGTGGAAGTTGGAAATCCTAAGAGTTTCTTGATGGCTACCACCAGGGAAAATTGACTAAATGAAAAACTCTGGAGAAGGGTGGGAGCCAAACTAACTTTAGGTTAGTTTGTTGTTCTTTTGTTTTGTTTTGTTTTAATTTTATTTATTTATTTGATAGAGAAAGAGCAGAAGCAGGCAGAGTAGCAAGCAGAGGGAGAAGGAGAAGCAGGTTCTCTGCTGAGCAAGGAGCCCAACATGGGGCTTGATCCCAGGCCCCTGGGATCATGACCTGAGCCAAAGGCAGTCACCTAACCAACTGAGCCACCCAGGTGCCCCTCCACTGGTCTATATTTTCAGCAGACTTCCCAGGTGACTCATGGTCTGTACCGTACAGCTCAGCGCACCTGGAACTCCTGGCACGGAGTGAGCGCTGAAATAAACAGCTGAGCACACGTTTCACGGCACCCGTCAGGCCGTGTGTTCATGGACGGGCAGAGAGAGCAGGTGTGTCCGTGGTTTTCATGAAATACACAGATGCATGGTGTTCCAGTGGAAGTGGAACACCACTGCTGATTCCGTTTCTCCTGGGAGAGCTGCAGCAGCTGGAGAGGAGGTTGGGAAATGTCTGTCTCTTCAGTTTTTCCCAGAGATCTCAGTGGCCCCAGCGCAGTAGTTGGGGTGGTGACGGGACACTAATTTTAGTTGCTTTTCTCAAGCACTGCCTTGCTCCCAGCCCTCTTGTGGCTTCCCCCTCTGTGTGCTCACTTTCTAACCCTCGCACACGTGCTCATTCTCATGTGTGCTGTCACACTCACAGTTGTTCTCGGGTACGCTCATTCTCACGTGTGTTGACACTCCACGCTCACTTTCCCGCATTCATTCTCACACATCCTCCTCTTACACATCGTTCTCTGGTTCGTTCTCACACGTGCTCACTTTCTCACACTTGCCCTCACACATACTCTCACACACACTGGCTCACACATAGGTCTCTGTCCCTGTTCTCACCCCTCCATGGCTCTGGACTCTCTCTGTCCCCACCTCCCCTTGCTCAGGGACAGGCCAGCTCCTCAGGGCTTCCAACAAGTCCCTTCCCTGGGAGCTTCTTTTTTGCATTCGCATCTCTTCTCAAACCCAGCTGAACCCTGTTCCTGCCTCCCTGGTGTTTGGTTTCTCTGAACTTGGGTAGTCTTTAACTGTGTCTCCTCACTTTGACCAGGGTTGTGAGAATAAGCTGATCATCCCTAGTTCGAGTCCTTTCCAGGGGACCCACCTTGATAGGCCCTCTCATTCACTCTGAGTGTTTCCCGAGCTTTCTGATTCAGTAAGATCCCCCAGGCTATCTTAACAGTTTTTGCCCCAGTCCTGGACTATCTGTTTCTTCACGGTCCCTTGGAAGATGTGTTCAAAGATCATGGTCAGCGTGCTGGCCGGCACTGGTTACCCCAGATTGCCGTTGCTTCTACACCTGTTGGCGGGGGGGCGGGGGCACCAATAGGAGTTTGTACTGATATTTGCAATAAATTTATACTTCCTTTCTCTTTTTCTGAAAAATCTTAATCTTTTAGGACTTCCTTAAAAAAAATTTTTTTTTAGTTTTGGCCTATCCAAAAGAATCTTTACTTTCCAGTTTGTGTTTATTCATAACTATACACTTCCCAGGGGATTTGAGCAGTTTCATTCCTGCGACTATGTGGGTGATTGAGATCATGCAGTGTCACGCAGCATTTCTTCTACAAATATAAAGCACAGATAATTTTATTATGTATAATATGCACTTTGATAAGAAAGCAGTTTTTCCAGTCAAGCTTTTTTTTTTTTTTAACCTGTCTGCATCCACTAAATGGAATCTTATATTAGCCAACTATGTAGGAATTATTCTAAGTAAATACCCAAATACCCACTAGAATATTGAGCAGATAAAATGCAGATGTTGACTGAATAGATAGAACATGTTCCACTGATGCCAGGAAAATGTAAATTGAGACAGGGATAAAGTCCCATTTTTAACATACCAGACTGATTTTTACTCTGTGTTTTGGTGGGGGGAAGTATAAAGAAAGGACATTTAATATATTTAGGGTGGGAATATATATAAATCAGTGCAGGAGATTATTTTGGGGGGCAATTGGGTAGCATCTGTGAACATAAAAAATAAACATATAAGGGGTGCCTGGCTGGCTCATTCAGTGGGGCATGTGACTCTTGATCTCATAGCTGTGGGTTCCAGCCCCATGTCAGGTGTAGAGATTACTTTAAAAAATTAAAAATCTTTAGGGGCACCTGGGTGGCTCAGTCAGTTTAACATCTTACTCTTGATTTCGGCTCAGGTCATGATATCAGGGTCGTGGGATCGGATTGAGCCCCACATTGGGCTCTGGGCTCAGCCCAGAGTCTGCTTCAGATTCATTCTCTCCCTCTCCCCCCTCATACACAGAGGCATGCACTCTCTCAAATAGATAAACTCTTTAAAAAATATAATAAAAAACTTTTTTTACTTTTAAATATTTTTTTTATTTGAGAGAGAGAGGAGCACCTGGGTAGCTCAAATGGTTAGGCGTCTGCCTTTGGCTGGAGTCATGATCCCAGGGTCTTGGAATCGAGCCCCAGGTCGGACTCCCGGCTCAGCGGGGAGTCTGCTTCTCCCTCTGCCTCTCCCCCTGCTCATGCTGTCTCTCTGTATCTCTCTGAATCAAATGAATAAATTTAAAAAAAAAAACACAAAACTTCAAAATAAAAAGCACAAGCAGGGGCGGGGCACCTGGGGCAGAGGGAGAGGGACAAGCAGACCACCCACTGAGCAGGGACTCCCCCACCAACCAACACAGGGTTCGATCCCAGGACTCTGAGATCATGACCTGAGCCAAAGTAAGATACTCACCTGACTGAGCCACCCAGGCACCCCCAAAGTAAGAATTTGTGAGAAATTAAAAAATAATAATAAACATCTTTGACCAAAACTTTCCCTTTTGAATGCTGGTTTGCATTCAGTTAATCTAAGTGTCCATCAATAGGAAAGGTATATAAATTATTTTATTTTACCAGAGGAAATGGATACTATCAAAAACAACACAAAAAAAGAGTTCTCCGTTTATGAACAAAGGACAATGACGTTGATATTTTCCAGTGAAAAGCAAGACAATATTATGAACTAATGCATTTTTCTTATAAAGAAACCTGTATGATTTGATTTAATAATTGGAAATAATTTGGAAACTTAATATTTTTGCCCTTTTTTTAAAACAGCTTATAGAAATTAACTGGACAGGACTGACTAATCTTCTCGATATCCCTGGATTAAAGTAAGTATGTTGTCATGTCCTATGGTTAGCTTGTTGATGGTGTAATGTGCATTTCTAGTGTCATGAAAACAACTCAGAATGGGTAAGGCCAGTGTCTACCAGGTAGAATCCCTGCCTCAGCAGGCTCTCACGTGTGGCTCAGGTGGGGAGACTGGCTGGGCTCCATTTTCTTAACTGCATCTGAGATCCTGGGACCACGTGAGCAGAAGTAGAGTGGGTGAGGGTATTAGGCGGGTCACTTACCCTTCATTTTACTTTTCATTCATCATGAAGCATTTTTCCAGCTTTGGTGTTTTCTTTCTAACTTTTTAATTTTTTTTTTTTTTTTTAAATAGGCTTTTTTTTAAGTAGGCTCCATGCCCAGTGTGGTGCTTGAACTCATGACCCTGAAATCAAGAGTCACGTGCTCTACCGACTGAGCCAGCCAGTTGCCTCAAGCTTTGGTGTTTTAGAAAAGTAGCAGCCTTTTAATATTCTGCAAGTTAATTTTTAAGTTTGGTTTTTCTTATTTTCTCAGAAAAATAAAACTTTAAAAATGAATATATATTTCAGAACTAGCCCTTTGGGGGCACCTGGGTGGCTCAGTGGGTTAAGCCTCTGCCTTTGGCTCAGGTCATGATCCCAGGGTTCTGGGATGGAGCCCCACATAGGCTCTCTACTCAGCGGGGAGCCTGCTTCCCCCTCTCTCTCTGCCTGCCTCCCTCCCTACTTGTGATCTCTCTCTCTCTCTCTCTCTCTCTCTCTGTCAAATAAATAAATAAATCTTTAGAAAAAGAAAATAACGGTGTTTAAAAAAAAAAAAAAACTAGCCCTTTGGGTTCTTTTCAGGTTGTGCTACTGACTCCCATATCTCCCATGCTCCACAGAGGGGCTGGTGTAGGTATTGGACTTAGGAATGTATAGGGTCACCCCAGGGTCTGGGTGCGAGAGCTGAGAAACCTGGGGTTTCTGCCTCACGTCACTGGGGGTCCCTTCGCACTCTCGCATCTAAATCCTGAGGAGACAGGCCTATAGTAAGCTTTTGACACCGTGAGCGGCACATCCCTCCTATAAGGAAAAGCGGAGTCTTCCTCAGGTCACAGCCATCTGTCTCCACTGATGGGAGGTGACTGTTGGCGACGGACCTCTTAGCTGCTGTCCAGCAGGGTATTCTGGAACCTGCCTTTGCTACGTACACTTGTAGTTGAAGGTTGAAATACAGTTACACGTGTTCCTAGTAGATAACTTTCCTAATCTGGATTTTTTTTTTTTTTCTAAAATAGCTCAGAAATTAAATTGGTCTGCTTTTTTCTATTCCTGTGTGTGTGTATGCCCCTACAATGGCCACTAGAAAGAACTTTATGTTGTTTGATTATCAGGGAAAATTAAGGACTTTAATAAAGTGAGGCATAGTCCTAACCAAATCTTTTTTAGGTACTGTGGTTTAATGATACTGAAAGTTCTGTTATCTTTAAAAGAGCTTTACACGGAAAGGACAACTTAGAGAATTGTTAAGTGTTCATGAGGACACTTGGTGGCAAGCAGCAGCCCAGTGTGAGTGGCCTGAAGTAGAAAAGTGAATACACAAACGGGGGTGTGGCTGTCTCGGTGGGAGGAGTGTGCGACTCTTGGTCTTGGATTCAAGACCCGCAATGAGTGGGGAGATTGCTTAGATAAATAAACTTTAAAAAAGTAAATGAGGGGCGCCTGGGGGGCTCAGTGGGTTAAGCCTCTGCCTTCGGCTTAGGTCGTGGTCTCAGGGTCCTGGGGTTGAGCCCCCCATCGGGCTCTCTGCTCAGCAGGGAGCCTGCTTCCCTCTCTCTCTCTCTCTCTCTCTCTCTGCCTACTTGTGATCTCTGTCAAATAAATAAAATTTATTCATTTATCCAACAAATAGGTATTGTGCCTGCTATGAGCCAGCCCATCGCTGTTCTTAGTGCCATGGCATGGGTGTGAATGGAGCTCCCATTCCTGTGGCTCGTTCCCAGAGCCGTCCGGAGCACTGTCGGGGGGCAGTCAGACACAGGCGTTGGTGTTCAGTTGATGGCCTGAGGGCTCGCACTCTCACTCTTGACCTGCTTTTCCCTGTGTGGGTTTGTGTCAGGCCCGCCCTTGCCGTGACGTAGCAGCTTCCAGTCTTCATGCGTAGCAACTTCAGTCTGAAAAGAACCTCCTCCTCCTCCTCCTCCTTCTTCTTCTTCTTGTTTTTTGAAAGAACCTTCTTCTGCTAGTTCCAGCCAGAGTTGCAGGGCTGACTTCTGTTTGTCCACCCATCCTTGGACCAGGCCTGTGATCTCATGATCACGCTTGGGTCTCCTGCCCACCCCTAGAGGAGGAACCGGGGGGACCAGGGCAGGGATGTGAGAGAACCGAAGAAAGAACTTCCACCAGTACGTCGGTCTGTGGGAGCAGATGCTGGTTAGCCAGCAGAACAACAGATTCCTGTTGCCATGTGGGGTGGAGAATGTGTGTGGGACAGCTGGGCGGCTCAGTCAGTTAGGCGGCCGACTCTTGGCTTCAGCTTGGGGCATGATCTTAGGGTCCTGGGATTGAGCCCTGCGTCAGGCTCCGTGCTCAGTGGGGAGTCTGCTGGAGGACTCTCCCCCTCTCCCCACCACAATCTCTAAAATAAATGAATCTTTTTTTAAAAATGTGTTCTACTTTCCTCCTTTTATATAATGGGAGGACTAAAACAAACACAGGCTTGTCAGGCAGCTACCCTGTAAATAGCGTTGCACTGGTTCCTCACAGGGTGAGCCGAGGGCGTCTGCTGCCTTTGGCAAGCCTCCTGCTGGGGGAATTGGTTGCCGATCATTCATTCAAAAGAGACGTAAGGGGGGCGCCTGGGTGGCTCAGCCAGTAGAGCATGCAACTCTTGATCTAGGGTTTTTGGTTCAAGCCCCATGTTGGGCATAGAGCCTATTAAAAAATAAAAATACAAAAGAAAGTAAAAGGGGAATATATGTACTTACATACATATGTCTGTATATGTGGAGATACGTAAATACTCGATTTTATCTAATGTTTAATGATGATGACAGGTTCTTTTATATAGTAATAGCTTTAAGCATTTTATATATAGAGTTCTGTACATATAGTATATAAGATATATTTAGTAGAGAATTCTATGTATCATTAAAAATACATAGTCATGTGTATTAGAAATACGCACCAGTCGGAAACAAAGCTGTGGTGTAAAAGGCATCTATAAAAACATTCCTTTTAAATAAAATTATATATTTGTATAGGATATATGTAATTTATACAAAATTATGTAGAACTTACATAACACTTTATATGTATGTGAGTTTCATGTAATAAACTATATAACATAAAACTTGAGCTGTGCTTTCCCACTCAAAGACTTCCTATCAGATCACAGCTATGGCAGGTCTTACGTTATAAAAGTGAGTATTCGGTAACTGTGAACCTAGCAAGTCTTCCTCGGGCATTACGAAGTGAACGTGTACGGGCTGTGCTCACTGGTGATAGACGAATCGGGAGTATTACAAAGTAACAGTAGTACCCAGATTAGTGCACTTGACCCTCAGTTTGGGCTGTCCCTACGTGTTTCCGTGAAGACCCCTAAACTGAGTGGCGAAAGTACAAAAAGGGCTGGGAATTACGGTAGAAACACAAGTAAGGTGATAAGCAGGAGTGCAGAAGGACAGAAAGGACTAGACCCAAGAGCCATTTAGACCATGACAGCAACCAGCGTTGCCCCAGGGAACGATTAGGGGCAGCACTGCAGCTCTGGTAACTCAGGGGGAGGCTGGGTGTGTACACAGTATGTTCGAAAGTTGAGCAGCGATGAGGCACCAAGGTGGGCCTTCTGCTGCTTTCTTGGGTGTCGGGCCTCTCCGTCTGCTTGGCTGGGTGGGTGGTGAGGTGGTCGGCCTACACAGCAGGTAAGGACTTCCTGAAAGCATATCGTCACCAAAGTGCTTTCTGTTCCAGCAGATTTTTTAGTATAAACAAAACCAGTATTTGTGGGTGAAGGGGAGTGGCAGAGTGAGAATATGCTTGCTCTTAAAACCGAAGCACCAGCTCACGTCACTCCTCATGAACATCATCTTCAGTGTCTGGCAGCTGGAACCCTCTCTGTCTCTAGAGTGTTAGTGTCCAAGTCACTGACATACTCATAAATAGGGCTGTATTATCTGTGGGGTTGTGGGTTTTGGGGTCTTTTTTTCATCTTGGACTGGAAAGTCCTAAGGTAAGACCCCTTCTCTTGTCGTCACATTTGGGTACCCAGCTTAGAGTGAATGTTCAGCTGTACTGAATGATGGTGACTTTTCACTGTCCTGGTGGGTATTTTTATACATACAATTACTTTACATATATCTGTTAACAATTTTAACATCTGAGAAATAACTAGCAAGAAGTAAGATTCTCTTAAAACTTCCCAGTTCCAGTTAAAACTGTTCTTCCACAGCAGTGAAATTTCATTTATGCCTTCAAAAACGTTGTCCCATACATGTTACTTAGTTCTCACATTTACCTCACAGAACAGGAAAAAATGTATTAAAAGTACATTTGTGTCTTTATCCTCCACAATTTTATTCATATTACTGAGTTCTCTGTGAGTACTATATAGAATTTCAGAATTATTACAGTATCGAGTACATAAATACATTGTGAAGAGAGAATGAACTAAAGTGTTCTACTGGACTGGAAGCTGTGCAAAAATAATGAGAGAAATTTAGTGTAAGAAACACGGAGTGGGTGGTGGGTGTTTGTATAGTATTCTTTGCACTTTTGTGACTGAAATATGCTAAAAGAAGAACAAGTAACGTGTCTGGGTTGATACTAAGTCCGTGGTGAAGTCACACAGGAGCGTATGAAACGTTATTTAGGAGACGTAGCCGGAGTATTACCTGTGTCTGCAGCCGCCCGCCGCAGCGCTCTCCGTGTATCCCGCATAATAGTGAGCGCGGCCGTGTTGCAGCGCAGGCATTGAACTGCGGTTCCAGATGCTGTCTGCGAGAAGACAGACACTTCCGACCCTGTAAGTGGGGTGCTGTGTCGTGTTTGTGGTAAGTTTGCTGTTAAAGCGGTAACAAGCGTTGATAGGCCTGACCGTTGGTTTGTTTGTTCTTTTTCCTGCCCACCTGATAGTGGTCTGTCGGATACCATCATCCTGGACATAATATCAAACTACCTGGTGCTTCCCAATCGGATCACCGTTCCTCTCGTCAGTGAAGTCCAGATAGCTCAGTTGCGGTTTCCTATACCAAAGGTAAGTGCGCCTGAGCGCGTCAGCACCAGATGCGGAGACGCGTCTCACGTCCTTGGATGTTGTGACTTCTCATGGTTCTCTTAACGGGGACCTCGCCACATGGGTCTCGATGTGGTCGTTTGTCCTGTCACACTCCTTAGGACGTTGGCCAGTGTGCGTCACAGAGGCTTCAGGGCCGTTCTTAAAGCTCACCATGAGCGTCCAAGGTGCTTAGAGCAGATTGGACTGCCAGTCCTAACGGACCGCTGTGACGGCGGAGTCCTCTCAGGAGGCATGTGCTGCTTGCATGCTCAGAATGTAGCAGCTTAGTCTAAGAGGCGGGCACCTTGTGTCCTGACTGGCGCAGGTTACCTCTCAGCAGTGAGTGTGGTTACCTCTCGAGTCACGTCGTAAGCTCCACGGCAGAAGCAGTACTGGTGTTGAACCTGCCGCGGACAGGATGGAAAGGGTAGCGCCTGGACCTCCGTCACAGCCCTGGGGTCTAACAACAGCTTTGCTTTGGGGCTATTACTTGGCGTTAGTGGACCTCAGTTTCTTCATCTGTATATGGGGGGTGATGCCTAGCACACAGAGTTAGGTCAGAGATACTGGAGTCCCCTTCACTTGAGTAAACCATATACCGTCAACCAAAGACTGAGAATCTGCTGGTCAAGGATGTAGAACTGCCTCCACTGGTCAGAGAAGAGGTGCTTGGACTGGATGGGCCCTCACGGTTAGGGAGAGCTATTAACCTTAAAACCCCCAGGGGTCCCTGGGTGGCTCAGTATATGAAGCGTCCGACTCTGGATTTCACCTTAGGTCATGATCCTCCGGCTCGTGGGGTTGAAGCCCACTTACAGGCTCCTTACTGGGTGAACAGCCTGCTTAAGATTCTCCCCCCTCTGCCCCACCTACCTCCCTCTCTCTGTCTCTCTTCCCCCCACTCCTTCACTCCCTCCCCAGTAAAATAAAAACATAAAACTGCCAGTTACGTTACCAGCAGAAATGGGTTTCTTCGGGAACGGGGAGAATTGCATTCTGGGAGAGTTAAGCTGTGGCAGAACCGTAGGGGATTCTGCGGAGCAAAGGAGAGGAGGCCCCTCCACAGAGGAGGGGGCGCTGGGAGGAGGGGCTGCTGCGAGCTCAAAGTCTGCTGGTGTGAACTGGGAGCCAGGAAGTGGAGGGGCTTCTTGTTGGCTGAGCTGTTGCCAGGCCAGGAGGGAACCGTCCCTCCTCCCGCCCGGAGAGTCAAACAGCATCCACTGGGAGATGCCTCTCTTCCTGCCGGGTCTGCAGGGGACGGTGGAGGGGCGGAGCCCGAGCGCGGCCCCTGCCGGCCTCCCCACTCCGTTCCAGAGGGGGCTGGCTTGTACTCGTTTTCACAGCTTTTCCCACCGGGCCCTGCTTCCCACTGAACCTGTGCTCCCTGGAGGTGGAGCAGCCACCCCTGTGGCGTGGCATCTGCGATGAGTGGGACACTGACGCGCGGGACAGCTGCTTTCACCAAACAGATGTGGAGTTGGTCCCGTTTCACTGGGCGTGCTGGCGGGCTTGGTGCAGCGGAGGTGGACCGCTTTCCCTGGCGCTTGTTACTGTCTGAGGCTGAGCTCCATCTCGGTGCGCAAATCAAACATGCCGGAGCTTTCTTAAGTCTTTTTAGAAGCACCAACACCCCAGCTAATTGGTGCCTGAACTAGTTGTGTTGTCGGCTTTCAGATTTAGTGGGACAGTGCATCTGAGAAAGGCATGTCTTTGTTCCTGAACTTAACGATTTTCATCTCTGAAAACACAAGGATTCTCTTCCATGTGGAAAACCTCGTGCACCTTTGCCATGTACGCTTCCTACTCTCTGAGCGTGGGGAGCACCTGAGCCTGCCCAGATCCAACCTGCTTAACCTCGTGTGCTTTAAAAGCCAGCGCTGCTTAGATGTTGCCAGATTATCTAAACTTCAGACACATTTCCTGTAAGCAGGAAATGCTCTCAGTTTTTAAAAGTGTTTTTATTTGTAAAAATGCATATCTTCCTAGCCAGTTGGGTCAAGACTATTGCCCAGTGATTTTTAAAGGATTTGTAGAGAATGCTGCCCAGTGCTAACTTGACCGCCATTGTTCTCCTTGAAAGAAGTGTGAGTGAACTTTTTTTTATCAGTTAAACAACATTTTAGGAGAAGGAAACTGTTTAAAGTCTCTGAGTAGAATGTATTAACGAAGTTTCGGTTTCCTGTCCATAAAGTAAATTTAATGACACTGAGTTGACCACATGTGTTGGGCCGCCGGCCCCTGTACAATAGAACATCTGCGTATTAACTTTCGATTCCCCCAGAACTTCAGTACTGACGGCCTACTGTTGACCAGCTGCCACACCAGTGACATAAACCAGTAACATGTATTTTATATGTTATATACTGTATTTTGTATTCTATAAGTTAGAGGGGAAAAAATGTTACTGAGAAAATTATAAGGGAGAGAAAATACATTTACAGTACTGTTCTATATCGAAAAAAATCTGTATGTAAGTGGATCCATGCAGTTCAAACCCGTTTTGTTCCAAGGTCACCTGTATTTCATAGGATTATTCTAGAAATTGGAGTAATGAGTGCCTGTCAAGGGCTTATTAGTGACACGTCTGAACCATTCTGTAATGGTGGTCTCAGGTACTGTCATACAGAACTGGAGCACACTGTCACTCTGGGCCTCACCCCTCACTCTCCTCCCTGGTGTGGTCTTCTGAGGAAGAGTGTGGTGCTTGGACACTGTCGTCCTGCCCTGCCTTGGTTTTCCCTCTGCACTGCTGCCCACAGTCCATGTTTACTTCCTTTCTTGCTGCACAAGAAGAGGGTCTCCCCTCCCTCTTGAGGTTGTTGCGTGTCCGCCCTGTTCTTAGGACAGTGAGCACACCGCCGTGGTTCCACGTGTGTCAGAGGAGCCAGGGAACAGTCTGCGTGTGCTCCTCCTTTCTAGGGTGTTCTAAGGATACATTTTATTGAAGCTCAGGATCTTCAGGGGAAAGATACTTACCTTAAGGGACTCGTCAAGGGAAAATCAGACCCCTATGGAGTTATTCGGGTCGGCAACCAGATCTTCCAAAGCAAGGTCATCAAAGAGAGCCTGAGTCCGAAGTGGAACGAGGTGTACGAGGTAAGCTGTGTCCAGTGGTGTCCGTTGGCTTCTCCCCAGATTCTGTTCCACTCCCGCTACACAGGTGCTGGTTGGCTTAGAGGGCCATGTGAGTCATTTTTCTTTCATTTCCCATCTTTAAAAGTATTGTACCTTCTGTCCGTACCTCACAACTTCCTGTCATGCCAACACATAAAGAACACATATATGTTAAACTTTAATTACATGAAACTATCACAGTAAATAATTGACAAAGTGATTTCTGTGGTTAACATATGTGAGTACTTACAGACATGAGATTAATTATGTGCTGTGTTGTAACTTCTCGTTTAATGCATCTAGACATCTCTATGTCCGTCCACATGGACCTGATTTGTACTTGCTGTTCACTGAAGAGATGCCGTCATTCCCTTACCCAGAGAGACACTGGCTGTTCGTTTCAGCGTTAGAACCGCTGCTGTTAACTGTGATGTGAATGTGTCTTTCTTCACTTGATCCAGGTTTTCTCCAGACGAGCTCCTCAGAGTGGAATTGCTGCATCATAAATTATGCTGGAAGGAATGATACGTTTTTGCAGAACTGTTCTTCAGAACGGTCGTGCAGTTAAGCTGCACCGGCATCCCACCCTCCCATTCCAGCCTGTTGCCCTCTGGCTTCTCTCTCGGTGCTGGCGAATGGGTCACTTGTCTGTATCCCACCGGTAGCGCTTGGAGCCCCTTCAGGACTGGAAAGATGTCCCAAGCCTGTCCTAGTTTGTGGGTGCTGGAGCAGTGGGACTTGACCCAGCGAGTCTAATCTCAGATAACTGGAAACACAGTAGACTATTACCGTGTGGGCAGATGTTTCAGAATGGTCTGCCGTGGCGAAGCGTGTGTGGTTTGACAGTGACACGATGTACGTGCGCTCCGGCTCCTTGCCACAGGAGAGCAGGGAGCTGTTCACTCCAGCCGCGTTTGGTAGCCGTGTGAGATAACCACTCGTTGTTTTTTCAGGCTCTAGTCTATGAACATCCTGGACAGGAACTAGAGATTGAGCTCTTCGATGAAGACCCAGACAAGGATGACTTCCTAGGAAGGTAAACCTCTGGGGAAGGACAGCACTGGGTGCTCTTTCTTTGGAGTAGTGACACTTAGAACTAATGTAGCTTCAAGAAATGGGCTGTGTATGTGTTACGTGTATTTTTAAGTGGCTCTTAGGTACAACGTTTATTTCACCTTAGACTTGTTAAAAGTATGTTTTATTCCTATAAAGTTTCGCATTTAAGTACAAGAAGGAAAACTTCTAGATCTGTGTCCCAGCAGCCACTGGCCACATGTAGCTATTTAAATTAATTGATTAAAACTAAACAGTTTTAAATTCACTTTGATAGTTGTACTTGCCCCCATTTCAGTGCTTGTAAGCTCCCTGTGGAGTGTGGCCCCGGACGCCGGTGCCGCTGGCCGCTTTCACACCAGGCAGGCTTTGCTCTAGATTGGAAAAAGGAGTTTTTAAGCTTTTTTTGTTTGTTGCGTTATTTAGGGAGCAGGGGAGGATAGTAATTTACAGTGTGCCTACACATTGGAAAAGCAAATATTGACTTGTTCACTTAAATTGAACAACCACTACAGCCGAAAAACATGAGCTTTTAAAAAATACATCTAACCCTAATCTTTATTATTTAACTGAATTTATTGTGGCAAAAAAGATACAGGGATAGATGATGTTGGACAGATTTGGCCTCATCAAGAACAACTTGTGTATTGGGGCGCCTGGTGGCTCAGTGGGTTAAAGCCTCTGCCTTCGGCTCAGGTCAGGATCCCGGGGTCCTGGGATCGAGCCCCACATCGGGCTCTCTGCTCGGCAGGGAGCCTGCTTCCTCCTCTCTCTCTGCCTGCCTCTCTGCCTACCTGTGATCTTTGTCTGTCAAATAAATAAATAAAAATCTTTAAAAAAAAAAAAAAAAGATAAGTGGATTCCCAATCCTCTTCAAAAAAAAGAAAAGAACAACTTGTGTATTAATGCTATGACTTCAGAATCCATCATGAGATGGTTTATTAACAAGGAGCGACCGAAGAATTGTAAGCAGGCAGTGATGGATCCGATTTGCGTTCCAGTAAAACCACTGTGTGGCTCAGAGTGGCAGGGACTGAGACTGGGGACTGTGGTGATAGACCAGGAAAGAGCTGTGAGGGCCTCACCTGGTGCAGGGGCAGCGGCGAGAGAAAACGGGAGTGTGGCCATCCATTCTCGTCATCTCTGGCTTCTGCGGGAGGGAATTCCATGCTTTACAGTAGGGCAGGATTTTTAGGGGTCAGATAGCCAAACCAGAAACGTCTTTGGGGATAGTCCAAAGCTGTGGAGTGAGGACGGGAAGGGCACAAGAATGACTGAGCTGTGGTGACGGGACGGCAGCGCTGAGGGAGAGCATGTCAGACAAGAGGGCTGAATATTTTCAGACATTCTCAGCGCGTTATAAATAGCTGCATTGTGGGAAAACCACATTTTTTACAACTTTGATCCTGGCTTTGCCAAACAGAGCTCCTGACCTCCCAGAGACTCACTCCTTACTTCCTCACTGTTTCCTTACTTCCTTTCATAGTTTCGGGATAAGCCTGAGGAACGTTCTGGAAGAAGTCTGTTTCTTGATAAACTGTAGCATTTTGATACATTGCCGGAGTACTTTTTTGTAGACTAATGTTTAAGGTTATTTCAGTTGTAAGAAGTGTGTTTCTATGTTCTAAAGTGGTTGTGTTGTTATTTCTATAGTCTTATGATTGATCTCATTGAAGTTGAAAAGGAGCGCCTTTTAGATGAAGTAAGTTTCCTTTGAGTATTATTCGATTTCATGAGCACTGACACACCTACTCGTCCCCCCACATGATGTTCCGAAAACTTAGGCCTTTTAGTAATAGCAAAGTGAAAAGAAATAAGTTTAACAGCCCGATCAGATGGTATGTATTATGTGCCCACCGCATGGTAGAAATTCCTAAGAGTATGAGCACAAACCCACTATTTCAGGCAGGCATGTGCTCTCCTTTGGGAGTCCAGGCACAGGCCTGTGAGAAGCTCCCGAAAAGTGGACTTTTTAAAGATAGACAAAGTTAATACCAGAGCCGGCACAGTGCGGTCGTTGAGAAATTGTCACGTGAAAGCTGCCTATGTGTGCAGTGAGAATTGACAGCAAGCAGACACCACTTCGAGCAGGATATTGCTCTCGGAATAGAAAGTATTAAGAAAAGATTTTGAGGTGGCTTCTAAAAGATGGGTGTAATTGGGATAAGTAGGGCAGAAGTAACCAAGGAAGTGTTGAGATTCCCCTGCCTTCAAAGTAACACATTTTCCTTCTCACACACTCCTCAGGGCAATCTCTTAACACCATTTGGGGATTATCTTCGATGAATCGCTTTGTAGTTTTCACGCTGAAACACCTGTATGCTATTTTCTTAAGTAGTACGTAGTGGTGAATAAAGGCAAGCATGTTAACGTTTTTGATAATGAAATCCAGTATTTAAGATCAATGTTAAATCATCTCCTGGCCCGTAAGTTCTGTTAAAGTCCACATATAGAACCCTGGCAGTACTGGACAGTTCTGGAAGACATTTGAATCCTTGTGTGTAAGGTAGGGGTGAGGATGGTATTGACTCCACCGTGGTGGGGTCCACATGAGGGAAGCACTCAGCCAGCCCCTGGCCAGCAGTAGGTGCTGGGCAAGTTCCAGCCCCTGCTCCTGTCATCCTCTGGGGCTGTCGGCTCATTCAAAGGGCGAAGCAAAATATGGCAGGACTCAGTCCTTCAGCATTAATCAGGAACTATCGGTGCCTCACAGTGAGCAACTTGTGACATTTGGGGAAACTGCTTGACTGGAAAGGTTGGCTCAGGAGAACTTTTGTGAACATTCACATTCTTTCTTCAGTGGTTCACCCTGGACGAGGTCCCCAGAGGAAAGCTGCACTTGAAACTGGAGTGGCTCACGTTAATGCCAAATGCTTCAAACCTCGACAAGGTGCTGTAAAGTGTTTCCCGGGACGACAGCCGCCCCTCGTAACTAACCAAGATTAGTGTCCTCAGGTTGCGTAGCTACTTAGCTTAGAAAAATGACAGCAGTAATTTTCATTCTTGTGCAGTAAGTCACTGCAGGCACATCAGGGGTAAATTAAAGATAATGGAATTTTTTTAAAAGATTTACAGGTCATTCCCGCCTGTTTTAAGAGCTCTTCATATTTTGTGTTCGATACAGTACAGGGCTTTGGGGAGCCACTGATCACCTATGCTTTATTTAATTGATTCATACCGATTCTTGTCATTAAAATACATTTACTGTCTTCATTCTCTCTGTGTTGCGCGGGTTGGATGGATTATTTCCCCACCTTCCTTCTTTTCGTGAGCATCACAGACCTAATCAGGTAGAAATAGTCTGAACTCTTGTGGAAATACACCTGCTGAGGCATTTTGTCCTTTCCTCACAGGTGCTAACAGACATCAGGGCTGACAAAGACCAAGCCAATGATGGTCTTTCCTCCTCATTGCTGATCTTGTATTTGGATTCAGCAAGGAACCTTCCGGTAGGTAATGCCGCGGGTGCTCCCTTAGGTGCTCCTTTCCTGGTAACAGATCTTGCTGCATTCAGCCGCACTGTCACCTGTTACCGTTCCTCTGTTTTCACTTCACTTGCACCGGGGGAGCAGCACAGGGGAGGGAGGGACCGGTGTGTATTTGCTTCATGACTACAGTTTGTGTTTATACAGCTTACGGGTTTATCCAGGATGTTCAGAATGACTTTTACTCTGACGAGTTTTATGAAGTCTCCATTACATAAGAAAAGAATGTGCCTGGTAGTTAGGGAAGGAGATACTCGGTAGAAAATCACTAATTATTAAAATAGAGTTACCTAAGATGGAAATTATCTCTGTTTGGCATGGAATAAAACGAAGCAGCTCTCCCTACAAGCCCAGAGTCCTTCCTGGCTATAGCACGGCAGGACAGAAGGGCAGCCTGGGAGAGCAGCGCCGCTGAGCGGAGCCTCTGGTGCCCCTGCGTGGGGTTATCAGTCACATCGGCTCCGACAGCCCAGAGCACAGGCTTCTCCACAGGCTTGCTCTTGGAAAAAAATGGAAGGACAGCTTTTATAGGTAACGACTCTAACTGTGGGGAGGAAAAATCGTGCTATTTCCATTCACATGAAGCCTGATGTGACCTTCCACACCATACTTTAAACCCACTGTAATGTGATCCTTATAGACACACAGATTGTTGTGATCTCTTTTTTTCTTTTTTCTTTTTTTTTTTTTAGTGCCAGTTCACTTACCCAAGAGATGGCCATTCTTTATTTCATTTGGGGAAGAAAGACTAAAGATACAGGCTGTTTCCCCCCCAGAATTACAGTAAATGCTCACCCATCCGGTGCATTTGCGCATAGTCTCCCTGTGTCCTCCCCTTGTTGGCATCTGCCTGTTGGAGGCCCACAAGGAAGCCAAGTGTTCCCTGCCCTTCATAGTTTGCATCTGAGTGTCTCACGTTGGACTGTGCCTAGCCACGCCTCACCACAGCGAGACCGTTTCCTTTATCCCATGAAATACACACCCTAGTTTGCCTAGTGCCTTTCAAGGTTTTATAATGCTGCTTTATTTGCACTTAGCACAAAAGCAAATAAAGGTACTTTGTGCATCTCTATCTTTTATTTAAAGCCTTTAACAAAAGGGAATTGATCATTTTTTTAATGCTGGGTAGATAAAGTTGAACACTGTTTAATTACATGTAATTGTACTCTTTCTTTCAGTGAAGGTTTCTTGACTGACTTTAACTTCGTAAATTCTTATTTTTTCTTAAAGTGTTACCTTAACCTTTTGGCCAGTCTTCCAGTAAGAACTCTGTGACTTTTTCTGATACAATTTCAACTTGGGGAAAGTTGTTCTGTTATTTAACCTTCCTACAGAATTTCTCATACAGTAGAATTTCTTGTTTTCAATCACAGTAATGTTTGTTATATAACAAGCCTTATATCATCCCTGATGGAAGTGAATTTGTTGTATATTTTAGGATCAAAGAATAGCATTAGTGAATTGGCAAGAAGGAACCGGGCCTCTTTCGCACTGTGTATTTTGTCGTGTTAAACTGAGATTTAGATGACACCACATAACCAAACAGAAGCAGAAGTGAATTTCTCACTCTATTAAGACGGCACTTCGTGCATGAAGTGTGCTCTGGCTGTCGGGGGCAAAGGGTCTTTGCAGAACCGCTGCTGGTTGGGGTTTATTGGAGACGGGAGCGTTTGCCCGCCGGCCCCCGCGGCTCTGAGGGGCGCTGTGACTCTGCCTCTGCGCCCTGTGTACTCGTGCTGCCTGTGCGCCCATTGACTGCAACCCACCCTTCTCTGCTTTCTCCTCCTGTTTCCACTTTCCCAAGAGTATCTACGAGGGAAACTTTGGGTGTGGATACTTAAAAGAGAGGCGAGCGTCGGGACTAGTGTTTTGTGAAAATACTACCTCAGTCTATAGAGCACTATTTGTGAGTTCTCCGGTGTTCTTTCTTCTTCTGTTTTAATGGAGACTGCTAGAATGTGGGCTGAACTTCTAATGCCATCGACTGGGTGGCATGGTGTGGCATGCGTTTTTAACTTTCTTGCATGATTTCAGTTACCGTGTGTGTGTTTCTTTTGTGCTTGTTTTGTAAAAGTCACACTGCTGTAACCAACTTTGGTGACTACATCTGATGATGAGATGAACAGACCTGGTGAGTCATGAAAAAGCCTTACGTTCCTAAGCTGCTACCAGCCCGTAAAAAATAAAGACAAAAATTTTTCTGAAGAAAAGATGAAACCATAATGATTAAAACAGATTTTCTTGCAGTTCATCTCAATGTGAGATGTAAATACTTACTTGCAAGCTTTCAAAAAACTTCCTTAAATCTACTTTTTCCCCCTGACAAAACACAGAAGTGTTAGAACATGGGTTTCCCGGCAGTGCCAGCTGTGCCCATAGGGACGGTCAGTGAAGACAGTCCACCTGTAATCCTGGAATCTTACTTCGCCTCACATGTTCACCAGAGCTCCTAAGGGAGGAAAAAACAGATTGACTTTGTGATTCAGCTTCTATTAAGGAACTTAAAGAATTTCCAGGCATGGATAATTGAGCATTTCTAACCCTTATTTGGGAAGTTGATTCTGATCTCATTATGTCTGTTTCCCAGGGTCTTGCTCTGGGGCCTTGATTCCCGGTACTGTTCTTAATGCTTTTAGCGGATAGTGATTTTTACCTGCTTTGAGGTCAGAGAAGGTCACCAGTGGCTTAATCATTAGTCTAGAACTGATTTAATTCAATAACTAGTGAGATCCTTAAAGTTATTTGGCCTTTGAATCAAATAGTAGTGCTTTGCATTTTTGAAGAGTTTCCATTTCTATTTCCACGTACATTTTCAGATTATTCTTAATTGAAAAAGAAGAGTGGGGGAAAAACTTGAAAAATAGGTATTTTGTCCCATTTTATAGCTGAGGGAAATCAAGACCCTGAAGGGTTTGGTGAGCTGTTGAGGGTCACATAGTTAGGAAAGGGTAACCGTGGTCTCTATGAGTAACCATGGTGTTCCTGTTAAAGGCATTTTAAAAGTCAAAATGAGGTCAAAATGGTTGCCTATTAGCAACCGTTCTCTGTCACTTTTTCATAAAATGATCTTCTGTTTGCAGTATTTCGTCGTGGTAGGCCATACTGTGAGCTGCTGTCTGTAGACAGCAGTGTGCTTCTGCTGCTTAAACCCTGTTAGTGTGCAGTAGCTTCCTGAGTTACTTTTTCTCATTCTGTAACTGCTTTTTAAAGGAAATATTTCTGACCTCATGTCAGGATTTTTTAATTGCTTTATATATTTAGCTAAGACATTGCTGGGTTTTCAAAACCAGCTTTCTTCCCACATTATCAAAATCACATACTAGTACTGCTTAATGATTCAAATACAGGCATCAACAAAATGTTTTATAAAATAAATGTGAACAGATTTGATTGCCTGTTTTCTTTTTTAGACCCATTGGTTTTCAGTATGAAGTTAAATGTGTTTTCAGTTTTCCTCAAAGTCTGAGACCACTGGTATTTCTAATAAATGCCAGTCACCATGGACTCTTAGCTTCTACCTACTCAGAACATTGAATTTCCAACCCTGTGTGTGCATGACCACCAGTGAGGCCATCTGCAAATCTTAGCATTGCAGGACTTTCTCCCATACTGGAAACAGCCCCTTGACAGTACGGACTGTCAACACTTTACCTTCCTTCTCTTGATCATCAGATTTGGGGCTGAATTTGAAACTGGAACACTGAAGGTGTTCTCTGGCTCCCAGTGGCTAGCTTTACAACCTGAGGCTTGCACAACAGCATCCATGTGCTGAGTACCTTCCAAGGGCTCTACCTGGATGCCTCATTTCAGTCTCAGGCCATCAGGACCACTTTTCAGGTAAGGAGACTGAGACTGTGAGGGACGGAGGTTAGAGACCCAAGACCGCAGCGAGTCAGTAGCAGAGCTGGAATTTGAACTCAGCTGTCTAGTCCATCTTAGTTTAAAGTGAACTTGTTATCACTTCAAGTTTATAAGTTATAAATCTCTCCATGGAGTTTATCTGAGATGAGTGTTCACACTGTCATCTACTTTATAGATAAAAATGCTAACTATAGAATGTGAAAACCATTGGGTTTGATGCTGCTGGTGCCATCTCACTTTTAAAAAGCACAGGTGGCATCGCTTAAAAATCTTTAAAAACAAAGCAGAGGCACCCGGCTGGCTTAGTTGGGAGCACATTTGACCGTTGGTCTCAGGGCTGTGAGTTAAAGTCCCACACTGGGTGTGGAGACTACTGAAAAATAAAAGTCTTAAAACAGTACAGGTAGCTGTCACTGCTTCCGATTACGGCGGACGGCCTGCGGGTAGAAGGTGCTGTACACACCCAGGGCTCGCGGTGGCTCCTCCTGGTGCACCGTGTGACCTGGCCTGTGTCTCCTTCAAGCCCATGCAGCTTCCCACATCCACAGTGCTTGTCTGGCACCCTGACCCTCACCACGGCCTCTCTCTTCATTTTGCTTTCACTGATGCATGTTAGAGTAATATGTGCACTTAGCCTACATCACATCTATCCAAAGTGAGCTTCAGGAAGGCTTCTTATGACACCTGAAGATTGTCAGGCCTCACACCTCAGGGCGGTGGTTCCCAGCCTCACCTGTCCAGGTTCCTACTAGAGGCTGATCTGGTGGGTCCCATGTTTGTAAAGCTCCATGGGCTGCCTCAATGATCTGGCCTTTAGGTAACATTCATTCCTTTTGGCCGAACGTTTTCATCTTCTCATGTGGCCCACCCTGCCATGGCCACAGGAGGCAGGGAAGCTAGTTGTCCATCTTTGTTCATTATGAAATCTGCTGTTTAATGAAAACATAATAAAAAGCAGTTTGTCATATAAAGGTAATTACAACTAACATGATAAAATCTTTACTCTTAAATGTTAGTCCTTGAACAACTCAGTCTTGCCCTCTTGAAGGCAAGAAAGTAATGATTTTTTTTTTTAATCAATAAAAGTAGGACATAAAACCCATAATAATAGAACTTTAAAGCCAGGACAGACTCTTGAAATGATGTGACCACTTCTGCATTTGGTGCCTGAGAGAGTGGGAGTAAAGTGGAAAAGGCTCACCCCTGCTGTGGTTTTGCACAGAGAAGGTAAATTCCTGAAGAAAGTAAAGTAGCATCTGCTAGGCTAGTATATGATCTGACTTGAGAGCGATTTGGGCATGTGCAGCCTATTCCTTTATAGTTTAGAAAAAACCTGTAGTGTATTTATGGTTGATATTTGAGGGGTTTATTCAAGTAAAAGATAGCAAATACTTAAGGTTTCACTCCTGGGTTTTTCAAATCCTAAAGACAAGAGGGCTGGGAGTATAAAAAGAACAGTAATCCTAAAGGATCGTAGTAATCCTAGAAGAAATGTGTTTGGATATTTATAGAGGCTTATTCTAAGGTAGAATCTTGGACATAATTTTATGTGCTAAAAATGGGTTTTACTGGTTTTTTTGTGTCATTGTTGGTGATTTTCATTTAAAGATTTTTTTGGTTCTTGTTCTCATAAATTTTTGTGTCATTAACCTTACATAAACTCCTCATTGCATGTTTTATTAACCCTTGGTATATTCATTTTCTTCTGACTTGAAAGAGTAACCCATTAGAATTTAACCCTGATGTCTTGAAGAAGTCTGCAGTTCAGAAAGCTTTAAAGGTAAACTAATAGCTTCCCTTTGAAAAGTTAATTGAAACATATTGAAAGAGATGATGCTTTTTCGCTCTCATGAGTCCGTTGACAAATTACCACCCTACTAATGTCGTCATTAGTTGTCTAGTTAGAGCTTTTTTGTGACCCAAGAATTAGTAGTTAGAAGAATTTGTTAACTTTGAAGGTAACATTTATGAAGTACCAACGTGATACATTAAGCCGTCTGTCCCGTTGGCCTTGGGCAGCCGTGTCTAAGATGGTTTTAAGTCATCTGCATTTTAATTGGATTTGAATTTGTGAACATGGTGAAATAGAAGATCTGTTTAAAAACTTATCCAGTTTCGAGATTATGATTTCTAGATATTCTTCCCTTGTCACTGTGACTATCCGTTTGGAAATCACCTCTTCCAATATGCTGAGTTAGGGCCGTTTCTGAGTCGGTGACCTCATGGCTTCTGGTGCTGCTGGGTTTGGGTGACAGATCTTTCGAGAAGCTTTAAATTTCATCAAATGAGGTATATTGAAAACTAAGCTCCACTCCCTAAAACAACATGAATGTGTATTTTCTGGCTAAATTGTGAACTTTTCGATGAGTTACAGTGTTCTATTATTTTCCCTCTGATTTCTTTGAACATTTAGGCTTAAATATTTGGGGGAGGGGGTGGATTAAATGTAATTGTTTTAAGAAAACTCTATCCAAAGGAATCAGAAATGGTTTTAATCTGCTTCATGTAGGAAAATAAGTTCAACTTTACAAGTGAGGAGGACAAACCGTGTCTGCTTTCTGACATAATATTTATTTAGCCCTTAACCTACCCTGAGATGAAGTGTGGCCTAGCAGGGAATTACTCCTTTGCAGTACTAGTTAGCACAGAAGTTGAAGTAACTACTCCCAGAACACTGGAAGGAACTAGATCAGCAGTCTCTCCTCACCGTTTCTGTGGTATCTAAGGGTCCCTGACCAGCAGGACATCGTGGCTAGAGGGAAGGCTCTAACCAGACTGTCTGCGTTTGAACTGCAGCCTGGCCCGGCCTGGCCCACTCCCCAGTGTGACCTAGACTGAGATGTTCAGTCCTCTGTGACTTACAGACTGGACGTGACAGGATCTTCTTTGGAGTATCGACTTAATAAGATCATGCGTGTACAAGAGCTCAGTGTAGCGATTAATTATTATGACATTTAATTTAAACCTAACAACAAGGCTTTTTTGGTATCATGTCCATTTTTTAGACATGAAAACCAAGGATCAAATAGATGAAATTTGTAGGTCTCAGTAATCAGTTGCAAACAGCTGAAATTTAATTCAAGATAGTCTAACTTAAAAACTCCTATTTTGGGGGTGCCTGGCTGGCTCAGTCAGTAGAGCATGTGACTTAATCACAGGGTCATGAGTTCAAGCCCCACGTTGGGCATGGAGCCTATTTAAAATATAAAAAACTAAATGTTAAAAAAAAATTTTTAACTCATTATTTTCATTGTACCTGTATATCTGACTTGTGCTCATGCATTTTGAATATTGCATCATGGTAGAAGACTTAGTGATTTTATCTTATTTCATGAAATCTCAAACATCATTTATTTAAAAATAGACCATTATTTTATGTACTAAGAAAGAAAGAAAAAAAGTTCCAGTTAGGGCTTGATAGTGTTTATTGGAAGGATTTTTAGGCTTAGGATAAATACAGATTTTTATTACATCACACACACATCAAAAGGAAAATGGAAGCAAATAAATCAGTTGAATAAAGAACAACTATCTTACAATTGGGACCTGCCTAAAAACAGGTACATAAAGTTACCAACTGTAAGTTTCATTCTGTTTCCAAGAGATGTTAGAACGTTAAAAAAAAAAGAAAAAAAGTGTCTCAGAATTGATAAGCTATACAGTAACGCTAGGAATGAAAGGCTACTTTTCCGAGATGCAGTAAGCCCAGAAGCAGCTTTTGTATCAACGCAGCTGCTGTATCAGCAGCCGCTGTAGCTGAAGATGACTTTATTTCCCTGAAATGTAACGGAATCTTGGCCCGTGGCACTGCGTGGCACTGAGAAGGGAGGACGCCCTTCCTTGAAGGCCAAACTATTACCCAGCCACACCCAACTGCATGGGAAGTTCAGAAATAGAATTTTCATGTACATACAGAGGACTTGCGCTCAGCTGGAACTCTGGGCTTCCAGAGTGAAAGGAAGGATTTCGGGGAAAAGTTAGTATTCTCTGCCACAGTAGTCTACAGCCTTGGATATTTTTTTTTAACAATATTTATTTCATTTTGCAGAATTTATTCTCATCAAAAAGATGAACCAGAAAATAAATTATCACAGTATGTTTGGGCTAGTAATATTTTATTCCGATAATCATAAATTTGATGCCTGTTTCTGTCATTGCTATGGTGTTGAGGATTGACTCTGAAATTGTTTAACTAAAAAACACTTTTGTGACCTTCTAATTAATTCCCACTAACAGATATTTAACTGCATCTTCTTGTGGGGCTAAGTTATAAATAAACCTCATGTCCCATATATGTTGTGTTTTACTATGTTCTATCACCTGTCTGCTAAAGTATGCTTACCATTTTTTTTTTACTCCTGAATTTTTCTCATATTTATATCTGCTTAATTTAATGCAATTCTAGATTGATGTTTGTTCTTCCAGTCAGAATTACTTAGGAGCTGGTAAGCAAGATTTGTTATCTGATAGCTACATGTTTGCCCAGAAGATACTAAGTTAAAAACATGAAGACTCTGATACTTTGTAGTATTTTTATTATTTCAGCCAGGGGACTGTTTTTTGAATTGTACACTCCTACCTTTGCCCTTCTTTGTGTTTTTCTGTTTCCATTCGCTGCACTTACTCATCTTCTTATACCAGTAAGATAAGTTTTAAGAGCTGGAATTAGTGTTAAAGATTTTTGGAAGATTCCATTTTTCCAAAGTAACTTGCTTTAAAAATAAAAGACCTTAGCATTTTAAAAATCATAAGCAAACAGGAATTTTCTTAATTTATCTCATGGTAGATACAGTTTTGCTTTGGGATATGCTCAGCAGTTATTTTCCAATTAAATTTTTCCCAGATATTCCTTGTAACTGAAGTATCAGAAATAAGTAGAAATGACTATTAATATGAGCCAATAATCTCATTTTTAGTAAGCCCCGTTTCAAGACGTATGCTTACTTATTTTGTCTGTTTTTTGTTTTTGGATAGTCAGGGAAGAAAATAAACAGCAATCCAAACCCTCTTGTCCAGATGTCAGTTGGACACAAGGCCCAGGAGAGCAAGGTAAGATTCTGACTAGTTTCCTGGGATGTCACTGTTGCTGCTCTTAGATGAGAACTGTCAGCTGGCTAATGACGTAGGCATGAGATCATTGATTTCCATATCTTTCTCTTGTTTTCTCAAATCAGTCAACTCATAGATAACCGTACTTCTTTATTGGGTAACAAATATATTGTTCGTTTTTTTAAAATGACATTAAAAAATTATAGTAGCCTTTGCTTGATTTCATGGATGAATGACGTGGGCTAAAGTTCTAAGTTTTCTTCGAATGCTCTGTAAATATTTTGTTGGAAAGATAACCAACAGTCCTTAAAATTCACAAACACAATTCTATTCAAGAGTCAAGGGCAATGCTGTTGCTGTAATGTCTTCCACTTTCTTAATGTAAGAAAAGCATTTCAAGAATTATTTAAACTATAGGCCATTGTTCACTTTTAAAATGTTCACAGCAAATAAAGTCTTAAATAACAAAATAAAATGTTCACAGTTTCGGAAGCTTCCTGAGTTACCAGCGTTATATAGAAGAAGAGGTAGAACAGAGCAGATGAGGTCTTGTCTTTGGGGTGGGCACACAGTTGGGATTCCCCAACAGTTAACTTCCCTGACCCACTCTAAAAGCTTTGGACAATCTCTGTCTTTGAACACTTTTCACAATTAATACATAATAGCACATGCTCAGTGAATAAGTGCCTTGGAATTTAATTAAAGTCATCCTGAGCTTCCAAACACAGTAAATGAATGAGCCCACAGTCTCGGTAGCCCTTTTCCACAGAAAGTATCACAGAGCTGATATTTGGTGATTTCTTTCAGATTCGGTATAAAACCAATGAACCTGTGTGGGAGGAAAACTTCACCTTCTTCATTCACAATCCCAAGCGCCAGGACCTCGAAGTCGAGGTATTTTATTTGCATTTTTTAGTAGAATTGTAGAAATATAACCAACGTACAAATCACTGCACGGATTTGAAGAGTACAATTTATGGACCCGTCATCGTAATCGGTATATTTTTGTCAGACTTAATACGTCACACTTTTTGATACATAATTTTTTTTCAATTTTCAACTTTGGATGCTTGTTTCTAGTATCTAGAAATGCGACTGACTTTTGTATATTGATATATTATTGTACTTGGTTACTCTCAGCCGTTTATGGCTACTTTAGGATCGCCTTCTATACGGCAGTCACATTTTCTGTTAATGATGTCACTTCTACTTCGTGTTTACAGTCTGGATGCCTTTTACTTCCTTTTCTTGCCTTGTTACTCTGCCACGGCCCTCCCACTTCTGGACTGAGTAGACATCTCTGTCTCCTTCCCGATCGTGAGGGGAGAGGGCCTCGGGGTTTCACTGTTAAGTCTGTTACTTTTTCAGAAGTTTCCTTCTACTCCAGCTGCTCACTAGTTTGCTCAGTGTTTTCTTCATGAGTGGATGTTGAATTTTCTCAGAGGCTTTTCTGCGGCTGTTGAGGTGGTTCCATGGTTCTTCCTTTTATGTTTGTAAATGTGGTAAAATACAGTGTTGATTTTCAGATGTTAAACCTTGCAAACCTTTATTTGGGGATAAACTCCACTTGGTCATGATGCAGTATCCTTTTTGTGTATTCAGTTTAACTTACTAAAATTTTGTGAAGAGTTTTTGTATCTTAGTCCTGAAGGATACTAATCTATAAGTTTGTGTTCTTATGATGCTAGTTTTTGTATCAGGATAATGCTGTCCTCATAGAATGTGTTGGGGAGTGTTCTTTCCTGGCATTTTTCTGGAAGAGTTTATGTAGAATTGGGTTTTTTCCTTACATGTTTGGAGAATTCCACCAGTGAATCCATCTTGACCTGTAGTTTTGTAAGAAGGGCTTGAGTACAAACTAATTTCCATTATAGATATAGATCTATCTAGGTTATCTATTTTTTCTTGATAATTTTTTATATTTATGCCTTTCAAGGAATTCATCCATTTCATCTAAATTGTTGAATTTCTTGGCACAACATTATTCAGAATATCCCTTTAATGTCCTTTTAGTATCCTAGAAAGATGTTCCCTTTCTTGCTCCTGATACTGGTAATTTTCTTGTTCCCTCTCTTTTCCGGGATCAGTTTGGCAAGTGGTTTATCAGTTTTATTTTCTTAAAGGACCATCTTGCACTGTTTCTAGGTGAAAAGTCTGCTGCTGTTAAAGTTTAGAAAATTTTTGACCAGGACTTCACATTTTTCCCTGCCCCGGGTGTCTCCTGTGTTGTCAGTCCCATCCTGTTTTTTTCATCTCAGACATACTTTCCATCTTAGATTTTCCATCTTACAAAACATTTGGATCTTTTTTTCTTCCATGTCTCTCTTACATTCTCATGTTCAGTGTGAGAGTTTTGATGCCTTGTTACTCATTCTGTCATCTGCGTGACTGCCGGGTCCGCTTCTGTGAGTTATTTTCCTTCATTATGGCTCGTATATTCCTGCTGCTTTGGTTGCCTGGTCATTTTTCGTTGTGAATTTTACATTCTTGAGTGCTGAGTTTTTGTATTCCTTTAAATATTTTGGAGCTTTGTTCTCATTTGCAAGTAAGTAACTTAGACACTAAGCCTTTCAAGGTTTGATTTAGTTTTGTTAGGCCCAGCAGCCTCTTAATCTTGTGATCATGTGGCCTCGCTAATCGGATGCCCTGGTGTTGAGATTTCTCATCTCTGTTTGGAGTGGATACTGTCTGCAGCCCTGTGTGCTCTGGGAATTGTCCCCTGCTCCTCCTGGGACATCTCTCCTGGCCTCGGGTAGTTCCCTCGCTCATGTGCTGATCGGCTGAAGAGGAGGCACCTTCAGAGGCCTCTGGCTCTCTTGGAACCTCCTGCTCCCCAATTTCTTCACCTTCCTCCTTCCGGGCGACGGCTCGCATCTCTCTGGCGTCCTCGTGCCGTAGTCAGGGCCTGGGCACTGTTTCGGCAGGGTCTAGCTGTCAGGCTCACATCACTGGTGTCCATGCTCTCCGGGCACTGCTGTGTCCAGTGTTCCATGTTGTGCATCCCAGAGCCCACCATCCTGCATGTTTTGTCTGTTCCTAAGCTAACATGGGACACTAAGTTTAGGTCTGGCTACTCCGTCGTGGCCAGAAGTACAAGTCCTCCACGCGTTTGAATATACGTAACGTATAGAAGTATACACTTCGGAGGGTCCGAGCTTCCCGAGCATACACCTGTTACTCTCGGTGGTCGTGTGTTCTGCCTTCGCACGTATTAGCTTAGCCGCCCGGAAAGTGCCGAGTGGATCGCACAGCTCGTGCCACACACCCATTGCTGACGTGCTAAACATGCCAGTCTAGAGAATCCTGGCTCCCTCTTTGTTTTTGGTTATGTCCTATTTCCCAACATTCAGTCTTTGAGACGTTTAAGGGCCTCCATTTTCTGTTTGGCTTGTAGAACTCTGACTTTGTCCTCAGCCCCTTGAGGTCGTGAGGTCTGAGAGGGGATGTGTTGCAGTGGGTTATCATAGCTCCTGGACCGTCCGTCATGCCCAGCCTGGTCCATTTTTCTATGTTTGCTCTTTTATATTTCTGCTTTCTGTTTTATACAGAATGTGTATGTTTAGCTAATTATTTATTTTGTATTTGTCTAGCTAATTTTTTCTTCATAAATTGTACTATTTTTCAAATAATCTATACTTAAAGGATCTTTAATTTTTTTTTTTTTTTTTTTTTTTTTTTTTTTTTTTTTTTTTTTTTTTTTAATTTAAGGGACACCTGGGTGGCTCAGTTGCTTAAGTGTCTTGCCTTCAGCTCAGGTCATGATCTCAGGGTCCTAGGATGGAGCCCCATGGCAGGCTCCCTGCTCAGCGGGGAGTCTGCTTGTTCCTCTGTCCCTCCCCCTGCTTGTGCATGTGCACACCCACTCTCTCTCAAACAAATAAAATCTTTTAAAAAATGCTTTTATGATTACAGTTTAAAAAGAAATAAGCAATCAGGCTTTTAAATGTTCACGTTTAGTTAGCATCTTTGACCACTTACTTTCATGTAGCCCATGAAATCTCCAGAGTTCTTACTCCGTTTGGTTAAACTGTTTTGTATTACTGGGACACCTGGATGGTCCAGTAGGTAGAGCATGGAGATCTTGATCTCAGGGTCATGAGTTCAAGCCCCACTTTGGGCATGGGGCCTACTTAAAAAAGAATATATTTTAAAAAACAAAGCTATTTTGTATTACAACACTCTAACAGGAATAACACCGGTTACAGAAGTAATGCTAAAGGCTCTTATTCAGGAGAGAGAAATTGCCTTGCCCTTAAAGTGTATACTGCGAATTTTCAGAACAACCAGGTAGATTTTAAATAGGAAATGTTTAAAAGGCACTTAGAAGGGGCACCTGGGTGGCTCCGTCGGTTACATGTTTGCCTTCAGCTCAGGTCATGATCCCAGGTTCCCGAGATCGACTCCTGCATCGGGGTCCCTGCTCAGCGGGGAGCCTGCTTCTCCTTCTCCATCTGCTACTCCCCCTACTTGTGCTTTTTCTCAGTCAAATAAAATCTTTTTAAAAAATAAAAGGCACTTAGAAATGTTTTTCTCTGTAAACAAGTATCACCAATAGAAACTGGATAGACATATCACCGTGAATGTGTGTTGTCCCCGTTTTCACAGAATTTAAGACATTTCTTCCTAATCTTCGGATTTGTGTAGACTGCTGCCTCTTAATTCACGGTTCTTATGGATTCTGGAAACACAGTGCTCCATCTGTGCTCGTTAGAACTGTGATGAGGAGGGGACCTGCCCGTGGGGCTTGGACACAATGTAACCTCACTCATCACGGCATTCTGAGAGCATCTGTTGTGTGAGTCATTTATGAGAACCTAGAGATGGCAGAAGTGTTTTTTAAAGACTGGATTTTGGACACTTAGATGCTTTCTGGTCTTTACCTTCACAGCTGAGTGTGTTCTCTCATGTGTCCCTCAGGTCAAAGATGAACAGCATCAGTGTTCTCTGGGGCATCTGAAGATCCCTCTCAGTCAGCTGCTCACCAGTGACGACATGACCATGAACCAGCGATTCCAGCTCAGTAATTCGGGGCCCAACAGCACTCTGAAGATGAAGATCGCCCTCAGGGTACTGTAGGCTTCTGCAGCACATGGGAGAGCGCACAGGGTGACGAGCAGCACTGCTGACACTCCTGGGCTCTGCTCCAGAGAAGGGTAGAGGGCCTGGGGCACTCGTGTGCGGAGCGGAGACTGCTGCTGACGGTTTCCAGATGCCTGAGGGAGAGAGAATTGAGGCTTGGACTCAGACATCTGCCCAAGTTGGTGTTTTTGATTGCTTGAAGCAGGCCAAGTTAAATTTTCAAAAGTCATTCAAGAGGGAAAAATTAATAAAATTCTACAAGGTGGTAGACACTACAAACAAAAAAGTTTTTGTCTAAAATAGACAGTGACCCTTAGGAGTGCCTAAGGAAATGTTGAAAATTAATAAAGTTGACAAACAGATGAAAAATGCTAAAACTCACTAATTTTTAAAATGCAAATTAAAAAGAACCCACTTTTTTAAAAAATTAAAGCAAACTTAGTGGAGTATGCAGCATACGTGGTCTCTTTGCACTCGGTCCCAACTCTGGGGGTAGTTTCTGCAGGAAGGCCTGCAGTGTCTCCCGGCCGTGAACGATAGAGCCCCTTGAACCAGGAACCCTTTCTCTGCAAATCTGACTTTCAGTAAGACGGAACGCAGAGAGACCTTGAACAGAAAGATGTTTGCCGCAGCTTTGTATACAGAGGCAGGGAAAGGCGGCGCCATCCCAGTGACCCCAGGTGCAGGGTTGTGAGCACAGGCTCTGCTCAGCAGAGTGCTGCACACCCGGACACTACAGACGAACGCCAGCAAAGCACAGGGTCCGCGCCCTCACACGAGCTGAGGAGTGTGAGGCCTGGCCCGCATCAAGGCTGCTGTGTGTAGTGGCCACTGGGCAGGGTATCCTTGCCGCTCATCCCTTCTTGGGGGTACGCGGCCCGTGCTCACCCAGCAGTGACGTCCCCCGCACCTGTGTGGGAATGCATGCGGATGGAAGAGGCTGAAGAGAAACACCCAGAAGTGACATTTACGTCACAGAAGTGATACTCTGATTCATCAGACTTCACTTTTTCTGAGCTGTCACATGGCACTACTCTAATAGTAGAGTGAGTGAACATATAGACTAGACTGTTCAGAATGTTTTGTGCCAGTTTTTAAAGAAACATTTGCAAATGACTATATCTGAAGTCATTCAGGTATCAGGCTGTTCTAGTGTCACTGACTTTTTTTTTTTTTTAAGCTTGTATTTTTTTATTTATTTATTTGACAGAAAGAGAGACACAGCGAGAGAGGGAACACAAGCAGGGGGAGTGGAGACAGAGAAGCAGGCTTCCCGCTGAGCAGGGAGCCTGATGCGGGGCTCTGTCTCAGGACCCTGAGATCGTGACCTGAGCTGAAGGCAGATACTCAATGTCTGAGCCACCCAGGCGCCCCTAGTATCACTGACTTTAATTTTATGTTTATTTTCACTTCTAGGTACTCCACCTTGAAAAGCAAGAAAGGTCTCCAGACCACCAACACTCAGCTCAAGTAAAGCGACCCTCTGTTTCTAAAGAAGGGAGGAAGATATCCGTGAGATCTCAGAAGTCTGCATCACCAGGCTCTGGTGACAGCAGCACAGCCCCGTGCACTCCAGTCATGGGGAGCAGCAGTAAGCCTGGCATAGAAGAGAGAGCCCAGCCTGTGGAGGCCAGCCCCCAGGGGCTGCGAGACCTGGGCAGGAGCTCCTCCAGCCTCCAGACCGGTGCCACCTGCTCCCCCAGCCATGTCTCCGTTAAGGAGCCCACCCCAAGCATAGCCTCAGACATATCACTGCCCATCGCCACCCAGGAGCTTCGGCAGAGACTACGGCAGCTGGAGAAGTAATTAGACACCTCCTTTGTTCTTTCCTGCTGCAGAGGGAACATCATCTTAAGTTAGTTAGAAGAACTTGAGGTGGCTTTGGCCTTTGGCTCCTTGAGTCCTTGACTTTGAAAATAAACCTCCTGTTTTCTTGGACCTAATATTTGGCTCGTTTAAGGATCAGGAAGCAGTGGGGTAACAGGTTCCATGAATAGAAAAGGGTCTGAAGCTGTGGTGTGCCTGTCCTCAGACCAGGAAGACAGGATCCAGGGCTGATGTGTGCTCTAAGCACAGCAGCTCTGTCTGTGCTATAAGAACAGGTCCTGTGTGCTTAGCGCTCTGACCTCTGGCCGTTGTCTAGTTGTCTAGTCTAGAATCTGGATTCATACATAGGCCCCTGCGTTCTTGAGAGGAGCACACGGCTTACAGATATCACAAGCTTCAGACGTTAGCCTTTTCCTCTCAGTGGAAGGAATAAACTGCCCTTTGAAGCCTTTCTTCCTGTCTGTCACTCTCGGGGGTGTGTTGAGGAATCGGAAGTGGAGGCAGAGCTGGGATGAGGGCTCCTGGGGGGAGAGGAAGGATGCAGGTCTGCGACCCCCACAGCACACTTCTCTCCTTCGTCCTTTCTCACTTCCGCTGTTTTGGAAAAATGAAACCAGTCCCTTCCTCTCTTGCTTTGAAAGCAACACTAGAATTTTAAATAAGAAAGCACCTTCTCTCAGGAACCAAGTCTGGGGAGTAGCCGGCGCGGTCTTGGGTGCGTTGCACCAGAGCAGCCGTCAGCGGTCTTGGGATTCTGTGCCTCGGCCCTGGAGAGAAAGCCAAGGGGTCCTGTTTTGTCAGAGAGCCTGCTGGACAGAGCACGCGACGTGCGTGGGGCTTTGAGCAAGCGTCTGTCGTTGGGGGAGTGACAGGACCTCAGAGTCCCATTTTTACCGTGCGTCCTAACTGAACAAGCTAAGTTACGTGGAACCCTCACTTGAATTGTGAGTTCAGCTGGTTGATTGAGAGTCCAAAGTTCAGACTTTGTGCCGTCCACGGGCAATGTAGTTCCTTCCCATGCCAGTGACACACGGCCTCCAGTTCTGAGGAGAGCGGTAACCTTCTGCTTTGCTTCCCCAGTGGGACGACCCTGGGCCAGTCGCCTCTGGGGCAGATCCAGCTGACCATCCGGCACAGCTCCCAGCGGAACAAACTCGTGGTGGTCGTGCACTCCTGCAGGTGAGCTGGGCCCCCGGGCAGCCGTTACACGGGGAGCAGAGCACTGAGTTCTGGCCTCACCAAAGTCACGAGATTGTACCATAACCCTAGTATTCAGTGTTGTGTCCTTGGTCTTGCTTTCGTAGGTGAGTATCTTCTATTCAAAGCCATTTTGGTTGCTTTGTAATAATAGACTCTTCAGTTGCCATCCTGGATATTTAGTATTACATGTAACATGGTAACGAAAGTATCTTTCTTCAAGTGTCTCTTTGGGATTAAATTTCCAGGAGTAAGTTTATATCAATTCGAAAGATCCAGAAAAGTTTATGGGATCAGGTGGCATTTGCCAGTAGTCTCTCAGGACTTTTTCTGTGGCATACGAGTTCACACTGGCACCTGAGGGTACAGGTGTGCCTTCCCCCCACCCCCAGTCGGGAACAGGGTATTGTACAGTGCACTAATGTGGTAAGTGTAACCTGAGACGCCAGTGTTGCTATAATTTGTATCTGATCGGTGATGAGAGTGTGCAGCCAACTAATTGTTTCCTTTTTAGGTAACTTGCCCATCTCAGTAGAAGTTACAGTATAAATGTATGACATAAATATTTGGAGCTTACAAAAGACTTTTAGAAACATAGGAAGTTGAAATTAGTGACATTTAGAAAAACTGTAAATGTAGGGTTCAGCTTCACACCTGTTTCTTGAGCACCTTATGTACTTGCTGTGAGAGAATGACTGTCTCACCAAATAATCCCCTAACTAGATTTTCAAGTTGATCAGTAAGCAGATAATTTGAAGTGGTTGCATGTAATTAAGTGCTAGACTGTGTCTGGCTCAGACCAGTTGTCCTAAGAGAAGAGCAGCACGGGCTGCTCAGAGGAGGTGAAAGGTTCAGGTGATCGAAGGGCAGAGAGGAGTGAGCCGCTGAGCTGGCCCTGAGGAGGGGGTGGCCTCGCTGGGGTCTGCCGAAGGCTGCTTCCCCCGGCCAGAAGGAAGGCTTCTCCTTCCCTGGGGGAAGACACAGAGTGTAAGTACATTAAAGTACTTTAAAGTAGAGTGGGGTACCAGAATGTCCCCCAAATACTGGGCTCAAGAAATGGAGGCAGAAGTTGCCTACGCCAGTGAGTGAGCACAGGGTGAAGACAGAAGCACACTTTGCTTCTTTGTGCTTCTCAGTGGTTTAAGTAAATGGGAAATCAGAACAGTGAACTTGAGCATGACGCATACTGTCATTTTCCTGGATTCTAATATCTAGTGTTCTCTGGTTTGTGTCATAAGAAATCTCATTGCCTTCTCTGAAGATGGCTCTGACCCCTATGTCCGCATGTATTTGTTACCAGACAAGAGGAGATCAGGAAGGAGAAAAACACACGTGTCAAAGAAAACACTGAACCCCGTGTTTGACCAGAGGTATGATGCTTACTGGGGTGGGGTGGGGGGCAGCCTCTTGAATCATCAGATACGGAAGGCTTGATCAATACCTTTGAATGACTAGTGCATTCAGACCAACACCGTGTTGCAAAGTGTCTGTGAAGAACTCCACATTAGCGCCCACAGACTTGCCAGACTTACTGCATAAATAAACATGTTGAACTTCATCTAGAAGCACCATACCTAGTAAGTCCAAGTTGTGGACACTGTGGAAGAGAGACTCATGATTGAGGAGCTTAAAGAACTGTATTTTGTGGGGTTGTATCTTTTGGTTTTTGAGTTATAAATAAAAACTGAGAATTAAAAATTTTTTCCTTCACATTTTTATTTAAATTCTAGTTAGTGAACATACAGTGTAATTACGGTTTCAGGAGTAGAATTGAGTGGTTCATCACTTACCTACAAGACCCAATGCTTGATTTTAAATTTTATTTTAAAAAACAATAGTAAACCTATAACATCGTAAAATCGTTTTCTGAAAAACAACTAGTTTCCAAAACAATAAAAAATATGTATATAAATAAATGTCATTATTGTTTAACATTTTTGCAGATCTCTTTAAAGGTTTGTCTTAATAAATGTCCTACTGCTTCTGCTGTCAGTTTGATGTGCTCATCTCCAGAGAGGGTCTGGGGAGGGGGCCTCTAGGGTCCTCAGGCCACCTTTACGTAAACCTCAGTCTGTGCAGACTGGGTGTCGCACGTTACAGCTCTGTAGCTAAAAATCCACCAGCATTTGGTGAAACAAAGTCAGATGGTGTCAAAGTATCTGTCACTTCTGTTTACAGTTATCTTTAAAGGCACTGGTCATAACTTCACGCCAACAACTCTGTTTAACCAGGGTCGTGAATGGGCAGGTGTGCCAAATCCTGGTGCGGGCGTGTTTTGACAGTGCTCTCGCTTAGCTCGCAGCATGTAAGGATTCTCCACCTGCAAGCCTGGGTTTCTGGCTGCTCCTGCCCCATGGAAAGGCCAGCTGCTTTCCAGCCACGGCCCTGCAGGGCCTCAGGCTCCCTGTCCTCTGCTTTACCAGAGACCCTGCCTCTCAACAGCAGGCGCCAGCCAGCTTTGAAGACGTGGTGCCCTGGAGGCATTTTAGTTCGTGGCACCGGACTTCAGCCATTAAAAAGTGCACTGCAGATCTGTTCCCTTCCATGCGCAGGTCACTTAGTTCGCTCACCCAGGGGTGGTAGTTCGTGCTCCATAGTCTTTAGGCCCGGATGATGAACTTGTCTGGACCCCCTGATGTGTCCTATAAACGTCCCCAGTGCACCCCGCCCCCCCACCACGTTGCTGTAACTATTATAAACACAGCACCCTCCTCACATGAGGGAGCCACAGGCAATAGGGCCTTTTCCATACTTACGGAGCAAGAGTCCCCACGTATGTTTGGAAAATAACGGGAAAAATTTGTTTTTGAGTCTTTAGGAAATGCCAGATCCAAACACTGAACAGAGCTCAGTTGTGTAATAAAAAGTCAGCATAACATTTGGAACTGTCTCATCAGCAGAAATGTCATTTTTTAGTTATAATAAAATACAGTAAAGTTATTGGGGAAATTTAAGGAAGGTCCTCTTTTTTCCATGTCAGCTTTGATTTCAGTGTTTCGTTACCAGAAGTGCAGAGGAGGACACTGGATGTAGCAGTGAAGAACAGCGGCGGCTTCCTGTCCAAAGACAAAGGGCTTCTTGGCAAAGTAAGCTTGAAAAATAGCCTTGGTCAGTTCCTATATTTTATGAACATTAAACTCTTACGCAAAATGCATTTTTTTAGACCATACTTAAATAAGTGGAAAAGGGTGAACTTCCTTTGTAATTATGCTTCTTTATAAAATAGTAGACTGTGAAAGACGTGCTGTTTAAAACCTGAGTACATTCTGAAGGCTATTTTTACATATTCATATAGTTAGCGTATTGTATTACTCATCTAACAGATTAGTGGCTTTATTTTTCTGAATTTATTCTAGTCTTTGTCTAAATTCACATGTAACTCCTGCATAAGATTATACAATCTTTAATATTAGATGTACACAGAGGTCGGGTTAGGGAAGAGGGAGTTTTCAGTTAGCGGTCCCAGTGACGGGGATCCGTACCGGCCATGCTGCCCTTAGTGGCCCGTGCGCCGGGATTTCTATGAATCGTCGGCACTGAGTCTTCTTAACAGAACTTTGAGACTGCTGGGTACAGGGTGGGGCTCTTGAATGCGACCCGCCGTATCATTCACAGGGGTCCTAGCGCCCAGCACACCGACTGGGAAAGACTCAAGATAGCAGAGAGTGGGCTCCGTGCTGAGGCAGGAGGAGGCTGGGGAGGCTGGGAGGATTTGGGGGTGCGTGCGCAGGGGCTGCTCCGCCCACTGTGACCATTTTTGTTCCTCCCACAGGTGTTGGTCGGTCTGGCGTCCGAAGAACTAGCCCGGGGTTGGACCCAGTGGTGAGTGTCCCAGCACAGACGAACCCTGTGTGTTTCCTTCAGCACTGTCCCCGGCTGACCTCAGGTCTGTCCTCCTCTCCCTGTGCACCCCTAGGTACGACCTCACAGAAGACGGCACGAGACCACACGTGGTGACGTAGTCCATCTGGCCGAGGAGCCCACCCTGGTGTCCCCACCTACCCTGTGTGCTCAGAGCACACCCTCCCACACATGTACCGATACTGGTTTTATAATTTCAGTGTATTTAGTTATATAAATCTTCATAATTTTATAAACCATGTTGACATTTTAGGCATATTTGGCCAATATTATCGTTAGATTTTATATGTTTAATTTTCTCTAGTGTTTCACCTGTTATAATAGTGTGTAATAGGGTAGCAGTTAGTTACTGTGTCATGTAAAGGGGTTTGTCAGTTTTCTCTGCCAGGAACCAGATGTATGTACATGCTTTACTGTTGCCTTGTTTTGTACACACTGAGGTACACTATGCCATGTAAATAGACTATTTTTTATAATCTCTACATGCTGGTTTGAATTCTGAAGAAAATGGATTAAGGAAATATATTTTTTTTCTTCTAAAATGTATTAAATTCTTATGACAGATAATCACTTTGTCTTCGCAGGGTAAAGTTCTCAGTGACCAGTTTTATGGTGTTTCTTATTAAAAAGGCTGAAAGTTTAAATATTAGTATACTTCTGCCCATCATGAATGATGAAAGTATTCAAAATACTACCAGTTCCATAAAGCTGTATTGTTGAGAGTTTGTGGAAGTGCATATAAGGAGAAGTGCAGCTGAGTAATCCAGAGTACGAAGAGCACTGCCGTGATCCATGAATCATGGGCACTAATTTGAAATTTCTTAACGTAAAATGAAATGTCTTAAGTTTATTTTTAGTTGCTTGATACAAGTTATTCATGAAGTAGTACACAGGTACACAGTTACACTTCCTAAAATAGAACACACATTTTCAGTGTTTTCCCAGCCTGTGAAGACAGGCTCACGTGGTCCCCATGAAGTGTGTGGGGTGGGTCCTAAGTAGGCGGGAAGTCGGTTTGAAAACCGACAGCTCATCCATCCGGCCCTCAGTGCCACGTAGGCCATCGGATGCCCTGCGCGAGGCTGCTGGCTGCTGGGCCGAGGGCTCCGGCTCTGCGGCTGGCGGCTGTAAACAACCATTTCCTGAGTCTCCTCACTTTCTGCCCTGACTGACCTCAGTACTGGGATATTGTTATACAGCTTTTGTTGTGGGATATTTGTTTTCTTTCTGGGTTAGTATATCATGTTCATATGCCCGAGGCTCTGCAGCCGTGTCGTTGGCTGAGCGCGTCTCTGAGAAGCGTCTGATGCAAGGGACTTCCTTCGCCATGAGAACATTCTAGAGTCGTGTATTCGGAGACCAAGGGAGTGGAACTCGGTGACCGGAACTGGAGAGCTCGTGGACTCACGGACTGCTCGTGTGACCAAAATACCAAAGTGCCTGTGGTGGGCGCTGGTGTGACTTCCGCACACTCCTGCCTTCCGGCGATTTCACGTTGGTTTTAACGGACACGTGGAACCATGGGTTTGTTCATAATGGAGTCTGTAGTTCACGACACTTTTCACGTCATCGTAAAGACTGCATAACCCCTAGCCCGGGGTTAGACCGGTTTCCTAGTTAGTGAAACCTCACTGTCAACCGTGTCCGATATTCATGTACAGGAGGGAGTTTATGAATGTTCCGATGCACACGCAAACTAGGGGCACACAAATTCGCTGTGGTGTTTTAGTAGCATGGTGAAGGCAGGGAACTACTTACTAAATCTGGTTGCCTGCCCGTGGTATTAGGTTTGTTTTCTTAATTCAGTCTGTTGAAGGGCTTCTGGCATAATCTATAAAAAGAGAACTGCTCACTGAAATGCTTCATACCAATAATTTTTACCAACACCCTAAACACTGGGATTTTGCGGTCATGTGCTCACCTGTTTGGTACACGTTTACCTTATGGAATGCTTTATTTAACAAATGAGACAAAATAAATACAATGAAAGGTAGAAAGCCAGTTAGCAGCATGACATGGGCCTTGTGACCCAGGGACCGGGGAGCCTGGAGACAGACCCTTCTGCATGTTCAGAGGCCTCTGGCAGCGGACTTTGGTCTGTTCTGCTTGAAAGGAAAGGAAGAAAGGAAAGGGACGATTCTAAAGACGTAAAACGCTTCCCGATGTGATTCCGTCCTGTGGCAACGTGAGCATTTACTGAGAAGCTCTTCTGTGCTGAGGGGAGGGGTGAGAATGACCGTTGAGGCCAGACTCGGCACTCCAGGATCCTGGTGATGGAGAACACTTGAGTCCTCAAAATGTTCATCACTGGTTCTTAATATTCAATTTGTCCAGGAAAAGGGAACGTTAACTTTTCTATATTGAGCCAAACCAATGGGAAGAAAATTAAATGGCTTTGAATTCTGTTGGTTTGTACATGTGGGTTGCTTATCCTGTGCCTTAAAATATGGAAGTGTGGCAGTGGTGTTTTCAGGTTTCAGATCACAGCTGTACTCACCGCAAAATACATTCTGCCCTAGGAGAGTTCGTGTCGCTGGTACGCTTCAGCAGCAGGTCAGCCCTTCAGGAACCGTGCAGACCAGCGTGTGTGTGTTCATACTCTGGTCACTGCCGCTGCAAGTGGGAAACGGGGTTTTTTAATTATTATAGAATGTTCTTTTTGATCAACTAATTTTACATGACAATGCATGTATTTATTCAATAAATGTTTATGTTACCTAACTTGTGATTTGTTTTTCTTTTGTCTTTTGAAGTGAAGTTTTCAGTGTGGGATCAAATATTTTGAAAAGTAGATACAGTACATTATTTATATGTTCTGTGTTTGAATTCTTTCATTTCCAAAAGAACGTGAGGTCACCGATACTAGGCCTCTTGTTCCATCTTCATGACCAAGGTGGGGCTCAAACCCACAACGCTGAGATCGAGAGTCAGATGCTCCACCAGCCGGGCCGGCCAGGCGCCCCTCTCTTGTTCCCATCTTTTTTTTTTTTTTTAAAGATTTTATTTATTTATTTGACAGAGACAGAGGAATCACAAGTAGGCAGAGAGGCAGGCAGAGAGAGAGGAGGAAGCAGGCTCCCCACTGAGCAGAGAGCCCGATGCGGGGCTCGATCCCAGGACCCAGAGATCATGACCCGAGCCGAAGGCAGAGGCTTTAACCCACTGAGCCCCCCAGGCGCCCCATAGACTTAGGGTTTTAAAAACCGCTCTTACGAAGGACAGTCACAAGTAGGAAAAATAGTCTTTGAGGGTCTTCTCGGAGGCCTTGAGAAGTGATGACGCAGAGGCTGGCTGGACCAGGTGGGGAAGCACTAGGCCAGGCCCTGCCAGTGCCCGTGGCGGCTCCGGACACCCGGCCCTAACGTGCTGCCGGCCACTCCTCAGGCACCTTTCCCACAGACTGAGAATGTGGACGGGCATGGGTTGTAGGGCCAGTGCCTGTTTTAATATTTACTCTGCCTTCTGCTCGATCGCAGTGACTCACCATAGTTTCCCAGTTTGTATCTGCGGTGCAGACTGCTGCTGGGCTGAAGGCCCGGTAACCCAGTGCCTCCTCGTTAGCCCTCCGCACTGGGCGGCCTCGCGGTGTTTCTGCCCGTCTGCCAAGGAACTCGAGATGGAGACCTAGGCGGTCCCTCTGCTTCCACCTGCCTCGCCCCCTTCCTGTGCAATTACAGGTCCCTTAGTTCTACCCCGGAATACATCTACTGGGCTGTTGTCTCAAGGCCAAGCCGCCCGTCTTTCGGCTCCCTGTCGGTGCCTTGGCCCCCTGCCCCGGCCTTCTCTGAAACAGCCAAAGGGGTCTTGGAAACCACCGGTAACTCTCCTGCTGTCCGTGCTCTTAGAAGAGAAACCGAGAGCACACTAAGCTGGGAGACCCTTCAAGCGAATTTCCTTCCTTCCTTCTATGGTGCCGCTCATCCGTTCCGGAAACTTCCCCACCCCTCCTTCCCACCTCAGTGCCCCAACCTGCTCTTCGCTGGACACTGGGCTGGCTACCCCCACTGCCCTTCGCTTCTCCACCGAGTGCCCTTCCTCAGCCGCCCCGGACCAGCACTCCCCATCGCCTCCCAGCTGCACTGGAAGCTCCCAAGGGTAGAGACCCCGCAGCTGTTCAGATCTCCTTCCGGCGGCTCCGCACTGCTCTGGGCACCCGGTGAGTGGGTTGGTGCTGGCTGAGTTAGTCTCCAGCTGGGCAGACCCTAACGTTAACTTGTCTCAAGTTTCTGTCGGAAGAAAGACACCTATCAACCGTTCTCTGTGAAGTCTAAGAGAGAAAGGTACTAATGAACATGACGAATGCCATTGCAACGAAAAGCCAACGGTGTAATTATCTGAGAAACATGGAGCCAAACGTGGGAAAGGAGCCAGGAAGTCTGCCTTTATTTGGTGTTATTCTGGAAACCCTGGGCAATACGATATGAAAAGAAAAACGATAAGTTTTGTATGAGAGACGTCGGTTTCAAGATGTGAGATTGTCTACCTATAAAACCTAAGAAAGTGGGGCTCCTGGGGGGCTCCGTCGGTGAAACGTCTGCCTTCGGCTCGGGTCGTGACCCACATTGGGCTCTGCTCAGCGGAGGCCTGCTTCCCCCTCTCCCTCTGCCCCTCCCCCTGCTTGTGTGTGTGCTTACTCTCTCTCCTCTCAAATAAAATCTTAAAAACAACTCACGGGCGCCTGGGTGGCTCAGTGGGTTGGGCCGCTGCCTTCGACTCAGGTCGTGGTCTCAGGGTCCTGGGATCGAGCCCCGCATCGGGCTCTCTGCTCGGCGGGGAGCCTGCTTCCTCCTCTCTCTCTGCCTGTCTCTGTGCCTGCTTGTGATCTCTCTCTGTCAAGTAAATAAATAAAAATCTTAAAAAACTCAGTAATCTGAAAACTTACTAACAAGTGTTTAACAAAGGGCCAGTTATAAAAACATACAAATCTCTGTGTCTCATATACTGTTACTAGCTATTAGAAAATATAATGGGGGGCACCTGCCTCGCTTAGTTGGTAGAGTGTGCGACTCTTGATCTGGGGGTTGTGAGTTCGAGCCCCACGTTGGGTATGGAGATTAGGAAAGAGAAAATATACCGGGGAAGTCACTCAGTAGCCTTGCAACTCTGACAGCAGGGACAGCAGCCTAGCAGGAGAGCGTGCGGAATGGTTGTAGAGCTCCCCCAGAGGCCACGTCATCAGGGAACCGTCACCGTGTGACCGACCCGTCCAGCTCCGGGGAGAACCCTGTGCAACGTGGCAGCTGCTTGGGCAGTGAGACCAGCCGGGGCCAACGCGGCTGACCAAAACGAAGGGAAGTCTGGGAAACCAGACGCCCGTTGAGGCTGGCGTTCCTGAGCTTTAGGACGGGGGTCGCAGGGCGGAGCGGGCCGGGTGCTGATGACCGGCCGTCCGCGTGCGAGGAAACCTGTCCGGCCCTTGGCTGACCGGAACAGCCGGCCGGTCAGAGGCTTCAGAGGGAGCACGGGACAAAGAAGGCAGCTCCCAGAGAACGAGCCCGAGAAAGTCGCTAAACCAGAAACAGCAAAATCGAGGGGCAAGGACTCGCAGTTGCCGTCTATTATTTTCAGTGTCCGGTTCTCAACAAAAAGCCGTAAGACGTGCAGAGCAGCAGTGAAGGGGCTCTGCCGCGGGACGTGTCCCTGAGAAGACCCAGAGGCTGGGCAACACGTGCGCGAAGACCTCGTGTCTGCTCTTGCGATACATTCGGAGAAGTGAAGAGTTCAAGGCGAGTGTGAGAATAATAGCATCAGTAAGGAGAAGCGGTGGAAAGGATGAACCTGCCCTTCACGAGTTCGTAATGAGTGAAACACGAGATCTCCCGAAGGCGAGCGACAGATCTGAGCCGCCAGAAGAAAGAACAACGTGGAGGCAGGGCAGTGTGGTGTCAGGAACAGAGTGCGACAGAGCCCTGGAGGGAGGCGGGTGCAGGGCCAGAAAGGACAGGGGACAGCCCAGCGCATGCCAGGGAGGGACCACACAGGGAGTCGGCCCCAGGCACATCGTGCTGGAGCCCGTGGGAGTTCAGGACCGTCCCAAAGCCGTACGCGAGACCGTCTCACCCTGGGCTCCTGGGTAAGGCAGCCGCTGCCTCTCCCCTGAAGCCGGAGGGTGACCGATTCAGACGCTGGAGGAAAGACTGTCAGCCAAACGTCCTGTGTCCAACAAAAATGACGGAGAAACCCCCATTCCCAGATTAAAAAAAGAAAAACACCTCACAAGCCCACCTGCCTGCAAGAAACACTAAAGGAGTTAACGTCACTGTTTTGTGTTTGCTTACGTTTCCTCACGATTTCTCTGCAATTTCATGTGTCTCTTGGTACTGGGGTGCTGGAGTCTGGGAGGGAGTATGGCCAGGGATTGAGAGCGTGGCTCTGAGTCCGCCTGCTGTGTTCAGACCCCACTCCAGGGCCTGTGTGACGGAAAGCAAGTCACAGACCATCTCTGAGCCTCCAGCCTCCCACTAGCTTCTTAGGACTCGGGTGCAGGGTGGTCTAGAGGAGAGCAGGAGACCGCACACGCCGAGTGTGCAGGCCAGCACCGGGCGGGCCGCCTGAGATGCTGCCCGAGCCTTATCCCCCTTCCAGCCAGGACGGGGCGGCCCCTCCGTGCGTCGCCTCCAGGTCAAGCCTGCCCCAGCCTTGTGCGGCTCCTGCGCGCAGGACACCGCCCGCGCACCTCCCAGGGCCCCGCTGCCCCTCGCCCCGCTCCACCCCGGCCTGATGCTTCCAGCGCGCGTCCCTCGTCCGTCCAAGAGCAGGAGCCCCACCTTCCCCACACGCCTTGGCTGTGGCCTCCGCAGTCCCGTGTCTGTCACACCTTCCTGTGAGGGCGGCTTCCAGCGGGCTCCTCCTGGCCGTGCGGCCTCCTTTCTCCTCCACGGTGCGCTGGGTTTGCCGCCACCTGTGTTCGCTGGGGTATAAAACACACAGAAACGTGTACGGACCCTAGCTGTTCCGCCCAGAATGTTCCCAAACGTTCCCAAGTGCCGCGTGTGACCAGCACTCGCGCAAAGAGTGCGCCCCTTGTGCCGGCCTCGCACGGGGCCGTTCCCAGCCCGAAGCCCAGGGCGCTGACCGGCCTCGGTGACCCCGAGCTGGGCCAAGCCAAGTCCTTGCGCGGGTGCGTGCCGGTGTCTGGCTTCTTCCACTCCAGGTTCTGTTGGCAAGGGATGGTCCGGGGAAGCCTTGGAGACCCGAGAACCACACACACGGGGCGCTAAACCGTGGTCAGCAGGGAGCCAGGCCACAGCCCGACACAGAGGTGTCCTGAGGGTCCAGGCCCATAGCACGGAGGGAGGCGCTCCTAGGACCAAAGAGCCCTCCTTCCGGGAGCCGGCGCGCTGCTCCCCAGAGCCTGCCCGGCTGTGCGGGAAAGGACTGTGTGAAGACAGGCGGACCAGCCGGGGGACGCCGCGGCCTTTCCAGCCCACACTCTCCTCCAACACGATGATGGGGTCGGGGGCAGGGCCACGCCTTGCTGGGGGCAGACCGCAGGCTGGCCTCAGTTTCCAGTCTTGTGAGGTCACGACACACAGCACACACTTTCCTAGAAGCCACAGCCGACTGGATAAAACAGGGAAGGTCAAGCCTCTCGTGTTTTGGATCACTTCACTGCCTCGACCTGCCGAAGTTGGATTCATCTCCATAATGAAAGGCGAGCTGTTTTCGGCAGTTTTCTCACTAAAACGGTTCTAAAGCTGCAGCTCCCCGTTCCTTGTGTA